GTAGATTCGCAGGCGTAATGTACAACCCTTGTTCTCTATATTAAACAGTGAACATAGGGTTGTTATCTTTAACTGTGTAATTGGTCGTCCGTGCCCAGCAGTTTATTCCATATCAGGGTGTTGCAAATTTTTTACCCAATAATTAAGACTGAGAAGGGCGCAGATGTGACACATTTACACGAAGGCATTTTCGGTCGCTATCGACATTCTGATAACTATTTCGTTTCGGTCGGGCTACGTGCCACACGCGAACAAGCAACCAAAGCAATTCTGTTCCAGAGGCATCTTTCATTTTTGATGAACCGGGCTATGAGACATGTGGACGAGAGTATTTATAAAGAAAAAAACAGTTTTTGGTTGTTTGCGTGTGATACATAATTTTCTTTGAGAAAGTACAGGATACGACCCAAGCACCCTGCACGATCGTGTCGACTGCAAGTTTTACCGCTTTAAGTGGTAGGGTGAGTGGTAAGCTAGAAGGCGCAGACAATGGATCCTGTTTCGAGCTTCCCTGAAATTCTAAATGCGTGGACAATTCTCAGGCATCGTCCTAATTGCTGGCGGTGCACATACAGCAAAAAGTGTTAATCTTATCTTACCAATTTTTCAAGCTACCGACAATGCACAAAAATTTGCTAATCAAGCAAAAATGTTTGCCTCAGGCAATGTATTTCCGGTTATTGGAGCGGGCGAGTATGATTCGCGGTTCACTCCACTAGCTATTTGCATGGGGAACACCACACAAGGAGAAGCAAATTAGATATCCTTTTTTAATGACAGTTTACAAGTGCAGCTTCCAAGAGAAATCCCTGAGTACACATGTGTGCCTGTGGTATCACTCGAGGTCTGATGTTTGGTAGAATCCAGTAGATGGGCCACGTGCTAACAAAGCCAAGCTAGTATCTGGAAATTCTCTTGCGGCTGAGTGGACACACGAGTGTGTTACCACGAAGCTCTCACAGTGTATGGTTGAGCATGTAATAACCTTAAGGTTTACCGGGTTCAATGGCAAAGGAGTGGATTGTTAACTTCACCTTTCATCCACCTCTGGGGGCTGAGAGTCTTGTGAACTGAGGAAGCCAGAGAGACGTCATGCTGCCGAGTAAAGAACAAATCTGGTCAACATACCGCTTGATGGAGAGCCATAGATTCGCTATCAACTTTTCCAAAGTAACCGGCTTGAACCTCCAGCTAGCTGACTGGACACCTTGGACTCGCGCCGCATGACATCGTGCAAGCAGGCTAAGTGCTTGATCTGTCTGTTTGTAATTAGTTTTTGTTCTACTTTACCACCTCTGGGTTGTAAATGCTCTTCTAATTCTAGCGTATCCCTATCCGCTTCATATACCTCAAACAGTGTTGATAGATATGCTACTGCGTTTTCTCAAGGTCCCGATAGTGTTCTTTCCCAAGATTGTAATTCTTGTCTTTGGATGATGTGCTAAACATTGAATTTCTAAATTTATACCGATACATCAAGTAACTTTTGTGATGTAACTTTTGTGATGTTGATTCCCCCATCAACGGTGCGGTGAACAAGGGTAACTTTCCTTGTTTTCTGACTACTCATTAGTAGCATGACTTACACCTGTTTGTTATGACACCGTTTCGTTTTCTTGCTGCCCGTTTTTCCTCCGTTTTGTTCCTAGTTAAGGCCTGCTTATCCCTCAGTAAGTGATGCCAATATTTTGTTGCCCGTCTGTCGTTGCCTGCAAGTTCTCTTCAATCGCACCTATTTTTAAGCGCCCACTCCGACCGAAAAGCGGGCCAACCGGGTATTGAACTCGGATCCTCCGGACGGCAGGCAAACGCGCGACCGACCACACCGACCTGACGCCAGAGCGGCTGATTATTTTGTATTAGCCCTGTATGGTGCCTGCCAGATAGTCCTTACTGAGCTTTGTTTTAAACGGGCGAAACCGCGCAATCTGACCTGTCACGCGACACGAGCGGCTGCGTCGACGCCGACCGAAAGACAGTCCCTCACATCCCGAACGTACTGACTCCTGCGCCGTTACGGCCAACTCACACTGTTAGGCTGCTCTTATATCGCTCCTGCAGATCGCGTCATCGTTGATTGTACGTTTGCTTAATTCATGGGGCTTACTAATCCGTTTTTCTGTAGAACCAGTTCCTGTCAGTCTTCAATATATCATCTACTGCCCCACGTCTGTCTGCTCCTATTGACTACTGGCTACGAACTGCGTATAATCCAATAATCGCAATCGTCCTGTGAGATCCACAGCCGCTCGGATCTTACAAGTGATGTGCTAAACATCGAATTTCTAAATTTACACCGATACGTCAAGTAACTTTTGTGATAAATTGTATACTGTTTTATGATAAAGGAACCTAGTCTGCTTTGTCCTTTCTTTTCATCACGAGAAAATACATGTTATTGCAAAAACGAAACACGGCGTTCCTTTCTTCTTTGCCTGTCGCACTGAACTCCGCAGCGGAGACCATTTTTGACGTTTATTCACCAGTTTCGACGGTGTTTCCCGGTCACTTCCTGGCTGGCACCGATTTACGCCTTTGTGCGGTCATACCGGGTGACAATTTCCCAAAGCGGGCTAAAGAACTTCTGGTACTGTACACAGCTCTCAAATATTAGCATTGGAGTACATCACCCGCCGGGCTGTGCGATGCAATTTTTGGACAAAAATTAGACATGGAGTGTTATATCGCACACAATTCATTCGTTAGTGCTGCCACGAAAGCATCAACTTTTCGGCACCTAATGGAACCTATTTTCTTGAGAGACGAAAAACCCTTGCAGCATTGGCAGAAAGCGCTATGACGTAATTTGTCACCAATTGTCTACCCTAAACAAAAATTGCCCCGTGTCACCGTTCGTGGTTCGAACGGTGGCACCGATGATGGCATGCGGGTTAATCAGTATCTTGATATCTTTATAATAATAATGATGTTAATCCCCAACTTGCGGGAAGCGCACCTCTAGAATTATTATTGTTATACGTTTATAGTCGGAATAAAGCATGACTGTTGGATATGCGAGTACTGGAGATTGCGCGAAAAAGAGAACAATTTCATAAACGTTGAGCAATATACGATAGGTCCGTTTCCCAAGTTGTAGGGAACATGCCAATAGGGGCATGATCGGGTCGGTACTACCTGGACGCGGCAGGCAACAACAAAACGGGGAAGCATGCTTGTTACATGCTTATTACACGAAATGTAATCGCAACTGCGGGGAACAGAAAAACTAAGACTCAAGCGTTTTCTCTCACTCGCTCACTAAAGAGCCGATTAAACAAACACAAAGCCTTGAAGTGGCTGAGGATTGTTCGGGGAGCATATGCACCAGAAGATGAGCTGGATTTTTTGCAACCAAAATAACTTATTATGAGACTACTGAGCTCCACTTGTATTTGGGTGAGTGATACATGTTTGCAGGGGGTGCAAGTGAAGTCCCACAACTTTTCCAAAAACGGAAGATTTAGTTACACTAAGCACAGAAAAGTTCAGGCCTTCCTTGTGATGCATAGAAGTGGCAAAGGGAAGAAGCGTATCCCCCATTAAAATGAGATATCTGTAGCTTCTATGGAAAACCAATTGCCTCAACTGCCATAGTGGGACTTCATCAGACAGCATCTGGAGTGATATGTGCTAATCCGGTGCCATTACGTTTAAATGACACAAGTTTTCTGGGATACGTGAAATGCTTTTTCCAGTCGGTTTCTGAAAACGGAAAGCTCCGCTTTTCCCGAAAAGACGCAGGTTGAGGGTAGCCATGAAACTTTCCAGGCCTTTAAGAAGGTTCAATTTTTCCGGGAAACTTCCCAAGGCTATGTTCCTGTAAAGAAAATCTGACAAAAAGGCTAGTTGCGCACCATCTGGGGCCTAAGACTTACTTCAGAAACAGGATTAAATTACTGAAAAGAACCAAAGCCATTAGTGGCAGCAGCACAGTTCCTTAGCATCTCCGGGCACTACTTGAAGCAGAAATCTACACCGTGGTTACCGTTGCTTCACCAGTTTATCTCCGGCCCCAAAACAGGAGTTCTAGAACACCCTGCTCGACGACAGTTATTTTCTTTACTTAACCTGTAACAGCATTCATTTGTTATTTTAAGCCTCTTCTACTCACCACCCTGGCTACACCTTGGCTGTTCGCGTGGTTACACGGCCCTGCGCCGATTGGCTAGCAATGATCCATCCAAGGTTTCTCATACTTTGCACTTCTGAGAGGATTTTATCTCCTGGAGCCTTAGGCAAATATACACCGAAAAGATATGGTTTTCGCCTTTTCTTGAGGTTTTCCCGTTCAGTGAGCTGGATGCGTGACTCAGTTTGCTTACTTGTCCTCTTGATGTGCATCGTCCTGTGCTGACCGACGTCCGTCGGTCAGTTTCCTTGCATACCCACCCAAAAGTTGGGTGTCTGCCCTTTCTTTTATTGAACTAGCCGCCAAAATCCAACTCTGCGAACAAGAACCCTACTTCTCAAGAATGAATGTATGAGCCGGTAACCTTCCATCGGTGCCGTTGAACTGAAACACTCGAGACCTGATACCAAATGATCGCGGGCTGTTCGTTGGTTGGCGGAGCTCGATGAGATGAGGAAGATTTCGGTCAATGGCGGTGAAGTCGGAGCTCAGTGAACAAAAGTTGGGCTATATTAGGGAGCTAGTAAATGCCAAAGATCCGAAGGAAGAGTACAAACTCATTGAAAGCATTGGTACAGGAACTTATGGTGAAGTATACAAGGTAACATCACCCTTCATTAAAGTCGTGACATTTGCCCAGGCCCTACGCCTAAGGACTAAGGAGATCGCTGCTGTGAAAATCATAAAGATAGATGCCAAGGATGATATCCGTGCAATCCTGCAAGAGATACAAACGTTACGTGATTGCAAACACCACAATATTGTGCAGTTCTTCGGCAGCTATTTTCGGTAATTTTGTAGTTTTCAGTAGAGGTTTTACTCTAAGGAACAACAAATTATGGATATGCATGGAGTTCTGCGGGGGATTCTCGATGCAGGACATTTATACAAGTATGTCAACGCTATTTCGCTATTCGCCTCTCAGATATTCGACGTCCCATCGAGGAGAATTGCATCGCATTCGTTACGCGCGAAACTCTTCGAGGGATTGAATATATGCATAAAGCTGGGAAAATTCATCGCGACATTAAAGTGAGTTTGATGATTGCGTTCCCTCCAATGAAGCCCGGATTTTCATCTAGAATGCATTTTGTCTCACCGCATTAGTTATGTTGGCGCGAAGGCAAATCCACGTTCAAGGGCGAGAGAGGTTAAGAGGGAGAGATCCCGACACATGCCTGAATCCATCTGCAAATATGCCGAGCTTCTTTTTCAATGGTTCATAACCGTTTCCCTGCCGTCGAATCGCCGATGAATACTACAGGTATTCCGAAGGGTAGTTTATTGACCTTTGGCTTCACATCGGTGGGATGAAAGTGTCGGGCGTATAAACTCATAAGCAAGTGAACCTGCTATAACTCACTGGGTAGTTGTTAACCGGAAGCAGGACGCACAGATATTGTTGAACAACCGCCGCTGTTCTGCGTTGTTTCCGCTCAAGACTGACCCGTGATCGTCGTGGGTCATGATGATGCTTTCTGCGCATTTCGGAGTTTCGACCTTCCGCCTACTCTGTTCAAGGACGGTGTTGGAGTCCTCAGCTAGTGCCTAGCTACTATAATCGGATCTACCTGAAAGAAAGATGGTTCCGGATAAGCCGGATGAGTCGACAATAGTGCCCATTCTCAGAGGCTACTCGCAATGAATGTAGTAACCACAGAGATGTTAGTTTGACGCCTGTTGCAACGAATCTTCTGGCGTCACTGATCCTTCGTCTCATCGACGACATCAGCGTCCAACAGTGATGCTTCTCTGTCCCACAACCTCGATTTGGCAGCTTTATTGTGAAGAAAACAAAACTGGGCGTTAAGGGACAGTGGCAGTCTGTCACAGACTTTCGGAGGTGCCTATAACTGCAGGCACTCATTCAGGCAACCTCAATAGAAACGGACAATAAGAGACCATTGCCATCGATAAGCAGCCATATCTAACGGCGTCCCCAGTCAGGCACAGTGAGGATCATGCGGTCTCCATCCCGGAAGAAGAGCCGTACCGACAGTACTGAGACTTTTCGTATTTTTGCTAATGCACCTCTGCCACATCAAAGAGTGTCCATTTTCTCTGCGTCCTCCGATCCGAATTTGGCATGGAAAACAGCACTCCGGCAATTGATGGTTTGGCTTGCCCAATAAATGGCCTAACCAACGCAGCTTCTGGTGCTGGACACATTCTTTAGTTGAAGTACCCTTTGTAAAACCGAAAATTCGCTTTCTATTTGCCCCGTTACCGATTCGCCGAAGGCAACCCACATGAGTTTTGGTTTTGAGATCATTGTCAAACAGCTGGAGACATCTCGCCGCTCGAGCGGACCAAGTTTCACAGCCATGCAAAAAAGCAGCCCGATGCACACGTTCCTCGAGATTCAGGGATACATCGACTTGATGCTATAGGTATCTCAAGTTGGCAAACAACCCAAGCCTTGCAAGTTCGTGCACTGACCTCATCCGTCACACGCCTGAAAGTCTGTGAATACAAAAAATATTATGTTAACGAACTTCCGGGACATCCCTTGCTGGCCAAGCATGTCAAGGCGAAAAGACAGGTCAACCGAGTTAAATGTGCTTTTCATATCCAGGACTACTAAAATTGTGGGCCTTTTGTACATATGGCGTTGTTTTAGCATCTGACTGAGAGTGAGGATTTGGTCAGTTTGGACAGCCTTCTTTCCCCGAATGCAAACAAACAGATCAGACAAGTGCTGACTGAGAACCTCACCCCCGTCTATGGACAATGCGGGTGAGAGGTCATGCGCACTAAGGGCTCGGTGGCGCTTCAGAGAACGTATGCTGTCATTAACCTAAGAAGTCGTACAAGATTCAAGGTTCCTTTCAGGGCTCTACTTCAGCTGTAGGATCAAAACAAGTCTGATTGTTTTAAAGTATTCCGCTCATTGGTGAAGGCGTTCTTTGTTAGAGATGGTCACTCTGTTCTGATCCTCGATGGTTTCTCTCACAGTTGGGTTCAGGGGACCAGTCGCACGGATCAACTGAAATAGTCTTCGGTTATTCCTGTTTTTCTGGACTTCCACCACACAAGCAAACGTCACTGGGTCACTTGACTGTCACTTATCTGACCGAAGGGCCCTTTGCTCCTCAATACCTATCAACAGTAGACAAAATAACACCCTTCTGAATCCACGAGATCCTTTCTATATAGGTGCTTTATAACGTCCTTACTCTATGTCAAATTGGCAAACAAGCAATGCTTGCTGAGACCTTCTACTCCCTTCAAATTGATGTAGACTGTGTCTCCCGATCACGCATGACACGAGCGTGATTATGCATACCAGAACGCCAAGGACAAATTCAACTCTTTCACATTTCTCCTTTCGTATGTCCGGTGACTCGGCTGGACTACGTGGGGCTGAACCAGCTAGACGATACAGGATGTAAGACATACGCGTCTCCTCCTGACGCCACTGCACATAGCAGATGCGTCCGGAGCTGCGTCAGTTACTTGATAGGTTTTAATCGTAATTCGGCGGTGGTCACGGTCAACCTTTGGGCGACAACTGCTTACGGTTTTTAGGAGTTACACTTTCTAACATGTATCTTCTCCTGACAACATACCAGGAGGAAGCACCTTATCACTTTCATACACTTATCACGGAGGATCCTACGACTTTACTTACAGAGCGCCTCGTATTGGGTTTGTTCTTAGTGCGAGGTCTCACTTTTGTGAGCTCCCTTGGTCGTCGTGACATAATGCACCTTCTGTAACAAAATTGCAGTCAATGTAGCCCACGGAGTTGCCGCAGTTCTCAAACTCGGCCACTACGTTAAGACGTCAACTATTAGTTGGTCATGGCATTGGAAATAGATGTGGCTCCTGCGACGGCGTCGATTGTCTTATGGTAGTCGATTCATCTGGCATTGAACCAGTGGTGGTAAGCAATACTACACGGGAGTGTCGGGTTACAAAGTCAATGAGGCCGCTCGTCGATTCAGAAGAATTATCACTGGCATGCAGCTTGTCACGGACGGGTACGTTCCGGAACATTTGACGATATACTGATTCATTGTTAGCGCTGAAAACACAGACTGTGTTCCCACAGACTAATTTTTGTATATGGAATCCTGGAGATGGCGGATAAGCCATTCTAGAGGGCTGGGCGGGAAGCTCTCCAGCCTATTATTTTTAGGGTTAGATGATTCTTTGACGATCCTAAATAATCATAGCCGGAAGGGGTTGCTCTGGAGATACGGAAACATTTTTCATGTTCCTTTCATACCTCCAGTCTGACTACGATGTACAGTGCACTGTGCGACTACTTCAACTGTCTCTCTCAACCAATGGATTTCGTCAAGATTTTCTCCTTTCCCCCGTTTCGTTCAATTTTGTGAAGTGCGCAATATCGGAATTACGTCTGGAGAACGAATAATGGTCTTGTTTTATGTGGGCGACATCGTTTATTTTTTTTTATTTTTTTTATTTGTCCACATATTGTATTAAACTAAACAGGATAACACGGAATCGGTCCCAATTTGCGGTTTACGTTAGGTACTTTCAGAGTGTAAAGCTTTACTTTAGAATTTCTCATCCTCCCTTCTCTGAAGCTTCAGAATGAAGAAATTGACTCACACATCTTGACGACTGCATAAGCCATGGTTGTATTCCGGCATGCCTCTCGAAACTTCCTTGACGCTCCAAGTGGGGAACGCAATTGTGACCATCGAGACTGTCCTTTGAGACGGTACGACTTTTGAGATAGGTAAAACATCTTAAAGTGCAAGAGCGCGGTTGCTTGTCCGTCAGCCCTAAATCACTGGTGAATCTTGCAGGAGTGGAGAGCCTGTTGAATGGAGTGCGTCAGGCAGTCGGTGTGAGCCGAACTTATTAACATACATATTCAGCGGCTGGTCAGCCTTGCACTTCAAAGTATCCAGTACTGTCCGGTGATACTATCGAGCGGAGCAGATCGTCCATGTTTTTTTTTGTGTTATGCTAAGCGGTTTGACGCCAAATTCGTCCCACCCTCTCTGGGTACCTTGTGTACTTAGGTTAGCATTCAAGCCCACTCATCCATGAAAAAACGTTGCTTCAGACATAGCTTCCTTTCGGCTTTTGTCAGTTATTCTTTGCTCCGTCTTGTTTGTGTTAAAATTACGAGTTAGTAACTCAGCAGGATGAAAGTGCTGATGAAGAATAATCGGAACGTAATACACAACAGAGGCTCTACAAGTAAATTTTTCAAGAGTACTTGCACTTTCGTTTAATAAAGGAACATCTACATCTTCTAGATCAACGAATCTATTATCGGCAGTAATTTGTTCAGCATTAGTATTGTTACGGCTTTAATGACAACACGAAGGGCGTCTCTGTATATCCTTACCGGACATAGACTTCATTAGTAAACCTTTTTGTCCAAACGTGCAAAATACAGTACTTTTTGGCATACTTCTGAGGTATACGCAATCGAACGGGTGCTGTCTGATAGCAACCTGCCAGCATTGAGATGATTTGTAGCCGAGATCTTTGTGATCGACTGGCTGAGCGTGGGTATCGACTGGATCCTGTCACGTTAGGACACCTAATCTATGCCCCAAAAGACCGGCCAAAGAAGGTGCTACTTCCACGCCTGAACCTCATTGATGAGGGCTTATGGTGAGTAAGCTAGGTCTTGGCAATACCACTGAAAAACCGACAACATTCTTCGAACCTGGGAAACATTGCCGTTATTTATTTCGTCAGCTTTTTTCTTTACTACCATGTGTTGATAACCTCCTAAACGCGTGTGTGTAGTGTACTTTATCAGTTGTCTTTCTGATTACAGGGTGCCAATATTCTACTTACGAACGATGGGGATGTGAAAATTGGTACGTTGAACAGAAGCCCTGCAGTATACACATGTATTTCAAACGTAGTCCTAGTTTTGTCATTCAGTTCATGACATGGCATGTTTGGACATGCTTCTCCGTAATCGTTGAGTTTTTTGGAACCTCAGAATTGTGGAAGGAACCCATTACTTGAGACACAATGAGTTAAGTAGCATATGCAAATAGGCTCTGGTACACCTACATTGGTTGTTGTCATTCCATACCCCTCAGACGGGCTCTCTGGAATTCATTACAACGCTACTTTATCTTGAACCAGCTCCATACTTCCCAACGTATTGTCACTTAATAGAGAAATATTAGCGGTTAAGCAGCAGGGCCTAAAACTTCCCTGCACTGTTGCAATTCCAGTTTGTTGGAAGGAAAACCCCGAATTGCGAGGCCCAAAATACCACTTGGATAGCCTAAGAATTCGATGTTCTGTTTGTGGGTGGTTGCGTGATCTAATTGAATTTGGTTTACCTAAAGCGGATATACCGAGTTGTTTCAACTATTCCTCCATTCATCCTTAGCATGGACTATCCAGGGTAATCATGGTGTAGACTGATTTAGGTTCTCCGTTACTTTGAGCCTTAACTGCGTCAGTCATTTACACGAACATTTGCGTTACAAGCGTTTGTGCGAAGGCTAGCGCGTGTAAAATGTCTTGAACGTCCATAGTGTTTCAGTATCGTGCTGCGCTGGTTAGCACCAATCTGATAGGCTAGCTGCCGTACAAAGTCTCATGGCGCGGCATCCATTTATTCATGTATTTAGTCCACTACTACTCCGAAATTGGAGCACTTAGTTAACTTTTAAATTTTATTCTTCCCCACAGCTGACTTTGGTGTAGCTGCCCAAATAACTCAAACTATCCAGCGGCGAAATTCGTTCATCGGTACTCCATACTGGTGAGTTGCGGGTGACGTAAGTTTACGACGTATCGGTCTGAAAAATTTCTTCCTATTGACCAGTCAATCAGTGTAAGCTTTCTCCATGGTGGCTCTCTTGATGTTCCATCACTTCACTCACCACTCGCTGGCTAGATTTTCCTTATTTTGAAGTTCATCTACACTCGTTTGTTTGATTCTTTAGTCAGAAGAATTCGGAGACAGCGAAACGAGCCATATGATTCCGCCTACCACCACCTTTCTTTGAGCGACGTACGGTCGTCAAAAGTTAACTTTAATACAACTTTGTTTTTTATTTTTGGGTGTCGAATGTGGCTATAACGTGCTTCCTGATCACAGCTTCATATCTAATTCTTAAGCTGTAATGATTTTTCGTTTACCCATGACTTGTTAACAGTTGGTGTGAGGTCATGTAATGAGGCGCATGGTTTATCCTCTGGGGATACAAACTATTCCTGTTAGTTATGGTAGGCTTTCTCTTCACCGAGACGTGCATGACGTTGGATAGTCTGTGTTCGTATGCCTCCCGAGACCTTTAGCTCTACTGCCTGTCATGGTAGAGATGTGTTCATTGCTGGATATTAGCACGAGTTCATTCCCCTCACACTTCAGGATGGCACCCGAAGTTGCTGCGGTGGAACGCAAGGGAGGGTATGATGAGAAGTGCGATATTTGGGCACTGGGAATTACTGCCATGGAGTACGCTGAACTGCAGCCTCCGTTGTTCGACCTTCATCCAATGAAGTAAGTTGTGTTGTTTAGATTTATACCCTGGTAACGTATTTCCCGTAACCGTACTGATGGCAACACCAACTCTCACAGACCTACCCGTTTCAGTGACTTTTGTACGTCCGCGCATTTTCCTTACTGAGTCACCTGTTACATTGTTCTCGCTAGTTCCCCCTTGGGTTTCACTTACATTGCTCTATGTTGGTTTACCTTCTCTCTCTTCGTAGCCACGAAAGTAGCCATTCCGCTTCTCTGTTAGTTTTATTACCGATTTTGTCGGTCGGCGTTTACTTATGATGCTTGTTACCTCAAACCAACCAAGTACTGTTTGGACACTTATGATATCGTCCTGGTATCGACCCATCCGCCAGAGACATGCCATTTACAACGATGTTGTGCGACCCGTACTGACTTGTGCTGTAGAACCGCGATTGGTTCGTGCAGACTGTCTGCGTCAGTAATACTGAGGTCCGTTGGATGGGTTTTGGACGGGAATAAAATGCCCACAACGGATGAGCTAGTCATACTTCATAGGTTATGCTGCCTATGTGCCTTGTGCGTGAGTACCTTCTGTGCACCCGTGATAACGGTGGGAACGATCTAAAGATGGGCAGTTGATAACTCCGCGGCGAACTATGGTAGTGATTTTGACAGTGGATTTCTTCCTGGATGCAGACCTCAAGACAAAACAAACATCCCAATCACTTAGGTCAGTAGCGCGCATGCAGTATTCCTATCAATAACTAGCTATCCAGATTCCTTCGAGGGGAAAACGGATCGATTCGACTTCAGAGTACTCATCAGGCCATTGTCTCTAGAGCGCTTTCCCCTATTCCCGTTGATCGGAATAACGGCAACTCGAACTGACGTACCTTGGTGAACTGTTTATGGTTGCTAAACCCCATGGACAAATCAACCAACTGATGGACAACTGGAATTGACAACAAACGTTAGCTAACAATATTTGGCGTTCGTAGGCGTGCCTGTTTCTTTGCTTGGTTGCAACTTTTCACTGTTTGCCATGGGCGCGAACGCATTCTTTCGGACTTACTCGAAAGTTTGGTTTTGGTTGCGACAGTATGTCGATCGATCATACAACAAACGACTCGTTCATTTTCCTAGACGGACTTCCTGTTAAGCTGTTGTCTCGTTTGTATCGATTAATCAGTGTTTAAAGAAAGTTTGTTCCATTCAATACGCGATTGATCGATCTCCATGCTGATGAATAAAACCCACTCATCCACATTGTATGTTAGCGCTCAGTCTTCACACATCAGTTCCTACCTGCATGATCAGCTGATTCTCAAGAGAGCGACGTTAGTACCGACTTGCGAAGCGTTACATTCAACACTGTCATTTTTCACCTACGTTGTATGTACAACTCAAAAGTAGTCAGCTGATCAGAGCACGGGAATGCTTAACCTCAATGACTGCAGTCTGTGCGCAGCTGATTTATTACACCTAGGTTCATGCGTCTTTTTGACGGGTTCAGTATACCAACATGCGAATTCTTCCCTCAAGTTCACGAGTTAAGTTTGTCCCTCCATGAATAGCGACTTGTCTGACTTTTGCTAGTCAGTCGTTTATTCTTCTTCATCATCAGATTTCCGTTGTTTCGATTTTCATACTTCACGTGAGGTGACCTCTTGTAGTAGCAATGTTGCAGGTTGTTGGTTACCAGCTTCAGCTCACGATGTATGTATGCAAAATAGTGGCATGGTTCCAATAAACTATGACTGTTCAATGGCTATATTGCCAGGAATATTGGAGTATTTCATCCAGAAACCCGTTCATCGTAGAGAAAATTTCATATTAGTCAATCTCACGGTTTATCGCAATTTCTGTTGCTGTGGCTTGTGTTCGGATCGGTCGGTACTGGCCCATGAAGCACAGTCAAGCAACAGGAACTTACTGGTCACACAAATTTAGGACGTGTAACGATTTGACGGTTTCTACATTTCTAACCTATTGAACCATACTGGGATGTACGCGTGTGACACCCAGAGTCTTTCATATCATGCTGGTCAATGGGTAGACTGTGTCAATTACTGACACGGTCTCTTGGCCTCCCAGTTGTGGATTCGAACAGGCACGGAGACCTGTTCATTGCCTTGGAGTGAAATGGACCAAGTGGTTAGAGCCCGAATTTGCTGACCTCTGCCTCTCGACTTCTGTTTAGGCTTGGGCAACGTGACTGTATGTCAGCCCTCGTGTCTCCTTCGTGTGGCATGGCATCGAAAGGGTGCTACAGCTGAACGATTTTTTTCGGTGACCTGTTCCTCATAAATTTAGACTGCTCTGACGGTCTTACGCCAAACACCGGCGCTTTGCCGTTAGGTTTTTAAGCCAAACTATTTAGTTGAGCTCCGTAATTGTCACTTTTCTGGGCTTGGGCTCCGTGGCAGTATCTGAGTACAAGCATAACCATGAATTGCACCATTACAAATGTCTGATGCCACACCGGCCGTCGCTTTATTTGGAGCCAGGCGAAATCACCCTGGGCCCATTTTTAAGGACTGAGGTATCTTTTCGCCGCCAATTACCGTTAGCTGAAACATCTAGGGTTAACTCAACCGCTACAGCCGTAGACACCTCAAAATCATTCTGCAAACCCGAAGGAAGCACGAGGGATGGGCTACTGCCAGGTTGCCCAAGCATAGACAGGGGAAGTCAAGAAGCAGAGGTGAGGTTCGAACCGCGGGCCTTCTGGTCAGTAAATTCGCCCTCCAAACACAGCCATCTCGCCCACTTGGCCGGATCCATTTTACTATCGATATGGTGTCCATGCTGTCAAGTTTCTATCTGCGTTCCGATGCACTCTCGTTTTCCCAGGTTTTCGGTTAAAGAGCTCTGAGACATATAAGCCATTCATGCCAATGACAGTCATCAACTCAGTATAGCCTCAGGAACAACCACCAAAATGAATTACGGCCACATCTGTACCAGTGGCCACGCATGAAGACTCAAATCTGTCACTTTGTGTAGAAATTTTTACACATGAGTTTCTTCTGTTTGTGGCTAGTAGTAGAGATGTTGAAAGCAGAATCTTGAAAGCGACGATTTTCCTGGGCGTTAAAAGACCTAATACCACTAGTGACAGTTCTCATGCATTTTTGCTAAACGGTCGCTATATGACAACGCATGGCACGCGATTCAGTCTACCCATTGTAAATAGTGCTCAGATATCCAGGAGAACTATTCAGTCTTGCGTACCGGTCTTACGGCCATGTGTGTGCCAAATTATTTGGCTTCGTATAAACTATATACGATGGTGAGCGCACGTATTGTTGAGAGCAGGCCAACATTATAGTCAATCGTACATGTCTGATCCAAAGTCCTGCGTCTAATAATCCCTATCCTAGTCACAGCACTTTTTGACTCATGTAGAAGAACGTTGTGTGATCATGCGTAATCGTGTCCAGTTGTCATTCAGTCCTGATGATTATAATAAATTGTTAGCGGATACCCCACTGTCTCGCATATCTTGTCTAGCCATCCGTTTAGAAACATTGAAAACTCTTAAGTGGCTGCCTAAGTTATCGTGATGGTTCCCGTCTTCGCAGATTGAGTTTCAAACAATGTAGGGCGTATTTACTAACGTATAATTCCAATGTGATATAGATACCGTCCCATTGACACCAACACTAGGTGGGAATACTGGTGCTTCACTGCCGTACTATATAGCTATTTATTTCAATAAAGTTTTTGAAACAGTGAAGAAATGGGACAGGGAAGGGGACCTGGGGCTAGCCTAGAACATCCGAGGCACCCACACCTTCAACACTCCGTCACATAATCTGGATAGAAGCTGACAGCATGAACACCATGAAGTCGGTTAGCCACCATATCGTCCATTCTCTCGAGCCAAGCACGGGAAGGCGAATAGCATCACTGGCGCTCAAAATTTTCGTGACCTTTTCCATTCCCCTCTTTTCATATTCTGTTCACCTATAGGTATCCACCATTCTGACTTAGGCACGGAAAACGACGGTCTTCTCGGCAGACGGTAATTCGGCTTGTATAACACATGGCCTAGCCACCTCAGCCTGCAGTGATAGATGCATTGTCTTAGCCAAATACCTTATGCTTACTAAGATCCCATTTCCTGACCAACTGATTCCGAACCTGCTGGTTCCAGCCGTTTCCGCTGCGTTGACTTCGACACGTAGATCCACTTCCGTGCAAGCTATCATTTGTTTTATTTACGGTCTATGTAATCAAACTTCTCTACTCACGTGACTACTACTTGCCTGCGGGACGCTTCGTATTTTGGTTCTATAATCAGCCTCGGTGTATTTGAACTTGTTACCGTTGAAAGTGTGATTCATACTCTATCTGATCTCTTCAGAATCTTATTGATTACTCCAATTTGCCTGCACATATCTCTTTGGTTATTTTAGAGCACTTCGGATTCTGGGTATGCGCAGTTACAAACCACCTACGCTTCGTAATAAGGCTGCGTGGTAAGTGGTGAGGTTATTTATTCCCAACCACATGCTCTGCAGGCTACTGCTGAATATCTATCGTCACTGACAGTAGTTTTTGGGTTTGAATTTGTGCGCACTTATTTGCATGCAATAATTCCATGTATGTTGTTGTACTACGAAAACCGAAACCGGATGCTTTGAATAAGTTGTCGGTGGGCCGATGTGATCATAAACAAAAAGATTGAAACCTTCAATTTGGCACCTTAACTTTTATCTTTTGTCCATTGTGATATTGTCGAAAGCATTTACCTGCCATCCGTGTTCTATTCACGCACGCGTTTTTATTCATGTCTTCCAGGTAGACGTTGGTTTTTGTTAAGCCTCAAATTTTGTGCGAAATGCACAACCACTACGTACGTCTTCTGTGTCCAGTGCGCACGTGTCTAAAGTACTGATGCTCGACGGGCCAGTCAGACTGTGTTATCGAAACTGTGCTTGCATTACAGATGCGGTTTTCGAAACTTCCTGATACGGAGGATGCAGTGTTAACACACGGCTTGGGGACTGGAGGTGAAATCACATCGTTTTGTGGCATGCTTTTGTGCTTCTTAGCTGCTGTTCCTGCGGTTCATCCGTTTATTCACGTCCTCTGTCAATTATTTGTCATCCGCACTTACGAACTTGCCCATATAGTCACTGGATTAGAGCTCCATAGCCCAAAGGATGGTCGCAGGTCTACAAATGCTGAAGCGTTTTTTTCCATTTTTAACCAGAATCCTTGATATGGGAATCTTACCATATCGGTCGGGGTAACCCAGTGTCAAATTAGCATGACCTTGCTGCTTCATGCTGCCTTTCCCCGAGGAAGGACGGATTGAAAAAGGTCGGCCCCCAAAACCATACACTCCGATCGCCCAACGGTTGACCGTGACCGCCGGCGCATTACTTAATACGGTCGAAATACCTTCAAAACTAAAGAGCTCAGTGCTGCTCAAAAGGCACCTAGTGTGCACAGCCGCATCAGGAGTGAGACAGTAATGTGCCCTCGGGCCAGGCCGTTCCCCTACAGCCGAGTAGGTCAGATTATTGAGACATTGACTCCGGGAAGGGTCCTCCAAGAAGGCCTAAACAACCGTTGTCTTGCGGTCCAAACTCTTGAGTCAGAGGCTAGGGGAAGGGTCCTCGAACAAAACCCAACATCGTCCCACCGCCTTGTGGGTCAGACTTTTGTGTCAAAGGCTCAAGCTGGGGTACCCCCTTCTTCAGCCTAGGCAACCGGGAAGTATCATTTGCCCTTGCAGCTATTCGCCCATCGGCGTACCCCCTCATCCCCTCCCAATCTATCGTACAATGCAGTGCAGTCAGCCCATTCGTCAACCCACTAGCCATTGTTCCGTGTCTGGACCGTCGCCAGAAAACTAAACCGAAATAATCACCTACTAACATCAAAAGATTTTATCCACGTTGCAGCCCGTAATGTCCGTACTCTATGTCAAATTGAGCAACAGGCATCCCTTGATGAAACCTTACTTTCCCTCTATTGATGTGGCGCCTCCGTAACTCGCGTACAAGACCCCACTTCGGTCGTGCTCCTCAAGCCGCTTAGGACTAGCCCACATGTTCCATATTTCACTCTTCGGGCACCCGGTGATCCTGACGCCATGGCTCGTGGTACCTACGGTGTGCGAGTTGCACTCAGCCCCGAGGCTCAAAGTGCCTTACTGGACTGAATCCCAGCAAACAGTCGCTTTTGCACAGAGCGGTTGTTTGGTTGAACACTTCCAAGAACAGTCCGCCTGGTCTCCTTCAACACAACCACTGGAAGAACCAAGCGGGCCTGAATGGAACATTGACACCAACCCATCATCAGCAACTGAAATCCAGCGCGAGTTTTCAATCCTGAAGCGCGACAAGGCACTTGGCCTGGATGGTCTACACCCCGCGATCTTCGAAGAAGGTGGGGAGGTCCTGGTGAACAGTCTGACAACTATACTGCAGAAGATTCGAAAGATTCGGGGTCGAGATGGCTCAAGTGGTTAGAGCGCGAATTTACTGACCGGAAGGTCCGTGGTTCGAACCCGACCTCTGCCATTCGACTCCCCCTGTCTAGGCTTGGGCGACCTGGCAGTATCCCAGCCCTCGTGCCTCCTTCGTGTGGCATGGCAGCTAGGCACCGAAAGGGTGCTACAGCTGGACGATTATTTAGATTCGGAACCAAATCAGAATACCAGCCGAATGGAGCTCCTCGACCGTGACCTCAGTTTTCAAAAAGGGATCAAGAGACTCATATGAAAACCATCGTGTTATCAGCCTGGTATCCGTTGCATCTAAAGTGCTCTCTGGCATTATTTTGCCTGGGTTGATGGATTATCGGGAGAGACATTCGTGAGAATCGAGGATGGATCGATCATACCTTTAACTTGAGACAAATTCTTGAACAGCGCCACTCCTTCAGACGTCCCACGTTGGTAGTTTTTCTGGATTTGAAAGCTGCTTTCGATTCTGTCGATCGTCAGAAACTTAAGCATTGTCGGGCGATCAGTGTCCCTTCCAAATTTCCCTCCCTTATAAAGGCACAGTATGCGAACTCCTGTGGGCGCCTACGAGTATACGGGAAGCTCTCGCCTGAGTTCCCCACGTCCGAACTGGACACAGCCGCGGTGCTTGATCACCCTTTTGCGTCCATTTTTCAGCAACTGGTGAAAACTTAAGAAGCCAAGGATAGTTCTCGGTACCCCCCGCTTATATCTGCTAAAGCTGTGGTGATGTCACCAAAAATGGCATCATCTGAGAGGATGTCGACGTTTCAGTGTCCCAAACGAATGAATCAGAGGTGGTCTTTCCAGGCAAGGAGGATGCAGCACCCCGTTCAATTATTGACAGTCGATTTCTTCATAATTCTTTGAAATAATTATGTTTGCATACGAACGATGAATCTCTCGACTTTTCAATATCACAGTTTTAACCACGGTCACATATATACCAGTGGTACTTTTTTGTGGCGCACCATTCTCTGGACGAGACCGCAAGGCATATGTAGGCGTTTTAATGAGAATAACCTGTTTGTTCATTCGTAGCCGGTGGTTAGGTCTGTTACAAAACCTGAGCCGACCACACAACAGCTGCACTATTCCTTCTACTATGAATAAAACTTAACCTTTGCTTGTGCTCAGTTTTTATACCCATCAGAACATTGTCTTTTATACGCTATACCCATCTTTCTATTTCTCTATCCGTTTAACAGGTCGTCGAAATTTCACAACTTCCTCAAGACGGCCTTAACCAAGAGTGAAAAGAAACGACCAACAGCTCAAGCTTTGTTACGTGTAAGCCTTGTGGATCACATGATTTATATGCATGTCCATCCATTCTTTAAACTTCCTTGTAACCTCTCTTGCTGACAGGCTTATCTACGCTTGTCTCAATTGCTTTTTGTAAATCTCAGGTTCGGATGCTCAAATAGAACAAGCTAGGTCGAGAATCAGAACTGGCGCAGATAGATAGACACGCCACACAATACCGGTTACATTGATTCCCCTGAAAATAGGCCACCTAGAGGGAAGAGGCTGTTCCCCTCTGTTAAGATATGGTTGCTTCTTGGCTAGTTCTTTCTCGGAAGATTAATTTATCCAGAACTACTTGTGAGGGAAAGCTCTAGTGTTCATTAGGAGTTCGGTCGAAACCAACCGTAATTTGAGCAGTTGTGAACACCAAACTTTTTAAGGTTGTAGACACCACATCCGTATCTCTTTCAGATGATGCGTTTAATAGGTTAGTTCAACGAAACTGGCCTCCGACTAGTAATCTCAACGTTGTCATAGTCGAATTTTTATCGCAGTCAACTCCAATTGATGACTTCATTTTAATTGTCGTCACAGAGATGTGTCTGCCGTAGAGGTACGTGGCAGCGAAGTATGAAAGCAATTACCAGCAAACTCAGCTGCGCTGGTCACTGCCGTCTTCCTGGATGGGGACCCTGAGACGGGCCACATCAATGGCTAGAGAAATTGTCAGATATGGCCCAGTCGTGCCCTCAATGGTGCTCGTGCATCAAAGCTATTGCCTTCAATGCATAGCTCCTTTTCCAACCCCCCCCTACATGCTTCGCTCTTTTTCCAGCCCCCCCCCCAAAAAAAAAAACATCGGTGAACGAAACTGCGGCAGCTACAACCACTGTTCGACGAGTACGCGGTTATTACAGCTGACAATGATGATGATGATGATGACATTCACAGACCAGTCATTGTCACTAAGCTTAGATGAGGTCGATAGAACAGAATGTGAGAGTGTAGCAACGGTATTTTCCCACCTTAGTTGTCGGTCTGAACCTCCCAAGCTAGCGTCCCCGTCAAAACAACCAGAAAAGGTGCACACCGTGTATTAACGCCCGAAACCAGGTCAAAAACGCATCGTATATAAAATGTGTGCGGCGACATCCTGGAAATTCTAATGCCTTCTGGATACACCGTTGACAACCATCATTCGGCGATTACTGGGTCATAATTGGCTTTTGGGTCCAGACTTTCGGCCAATTGAGAGTTCGCCTTGTTGCTGAACCGGCCAATTACGTGTGTGCTAGACTTCTTGGCCGTAGCAACCCCCAACTGCCAGCGGCAAAGTGGTATTCGTGTGGAATTCTGCCTAAGAAAGAGTGGTCGGTGGCACTATGTTGGCTTGTATACCCGTTCTTTCGATCACGCAAAGCAAAGTTGAAGCGGAATATCTTGGCACGTTAGTGCTAACAACTATATGAGGTTTTTAGTGGCTTCCAATGTGATCTAAGGATGTGGACCACTGTGTCATCCATAAACGGCGCCGAGTAACGCTTAGCAAGCTTTTTATTTCATTCATGCAGCATAAAACCCCACACCCCAGTATTCCTTTCACGCTACGGTGATTCTCCCATAGAGCGAGTATGCGACTACAGGCCGAACTCGTCGACCTGTCCTGCGGGAATTCTTTCTTATGAGGGTTCGGTCTTCTTGATGGTGAATGAGTCTAAAGTAACGATGCATTTAGCGTTCCTCACCACATGCGTCGGTGGTCAATTTTTTGCCCTTGATCTGATTGCTTCACACAGATTAAATTCACAAAAACCGATTTAGTTTGGGTGGTTGTGCAGACTAAATGGCATGATTTGCTGTTACAACACTAGTGATCTGCAACTTATCTGATTGTTTTGAGGCCCTAACCGTTTTCCGGGAATCATACTATTAGACTGTACAAGCCTTCGACACAGACGCTTCAGGAGTATCCTCGGTGGTGTGTTCACATCACGCTTATAATAAATAAATGGCACTTTTTTGATATTCGGAAGACCTGAGGGTTCAGTGGACAGTGCAGCTCATTCTCGAGTAAAATTCGTTCCCCACCGGTGCTGGGTTATGGCTGCCCGGTAAAACTGGTTTGGATATCCTTTCAATTCGCCGTACGTTGCTGAGCGGAAAATCACGGGCCCTTTAGTGGTAACTATACACAGCTGATCCGGTGAACAAGGTTATAAAAGTTCGTTCAGGTTTTGTTTTCGTGGTTGTCAAGACTCAATTTTCAGCCGAGTGTACTCTCTTGTGGCGTCGTTGTTCCCAGGGTTTCAGTGGTGAAGAAAATGGGACTGCAAAACACCGCTTTGTCCGTATTGTACCCTGCTAATGCCAGCTACTGCGATGAGGTGGGTCAGTTCTGTAAAATAAATAGTCCAGCCGTAGCAACCTTTCTGTGCCTAACTGCCATGCCACCAGGAGGTACGAAGGCTGGGATACTGCCTGTTGCCCAAGCCTAGACAAGGAAAGTCGAAGGGCAGAGGTCGGGTTCAAACCACGGACCTTCCGGTCAGTAAATTCGCACTCTTACCACCGGGCTATCTCGCCCCTGGTCAGTTCTGTGATTGATTGGAAATAATTCACATGCTTACTTTTCGTGTCACTGCTTTGTGTGCACTTCCAGTCGTATCATCGCGCGAGGTTTATCGTCCTAAGCCCGAATCAGCTATGCTACAGTGGTAGCTGGAATGCATTCACGTGCATATCTTGTCAGAGGCGCCAAACCGGTCTGCATTTGTCATGCGACCATGGCGTTGCTATTTACTGGGTTAGAATGAATGGATTTGGTATGTTGTTAGCAATTGTGGCTGATAGCAACCAATGTGACCTTTAGACGTATCGCGGCATTTGTGTGGTCCATGTAGTTCGGTAACTAGTTTTCTTTGGTTGCTTCCAGGTGCATCCAGGTACCGGTTGGTCCCGTTTAAATCTGGTCTCCGTTAACTGCGGGACTTGTGCACTGCAGCTAATGTGCACCTTGGACTCCTTGGCTGATTTCAGAGATGAAGTAGAATCCATTAATGAAGATTATCAAGTTAACGAACCTAGTGCGGTACAACCCGTTCACCCACTGAACTCGCTTCGAGTAGATTTCATTATCTGCTACACTCTTCTGTCCACTTTAAACAGGCGTCCAGATGTGTCGTTGTACATCATTGTACTCATACCCTGGTCACACGAACATAGTCATGAGTGACCGCCGCAACTCTTTCGGAATAATGAACTAATGAGATCTCATGTCGCCTGTTGTCATATCAATCGGTGGTGCACCAGTGTGAAGTGACTAAGCCTGACAGAACTGTCCCATTTTTTACCATCTAGGCAAAGGGTGTTCAGAGAACTTGTATAGTCATTTTGGGTGTCCATCATATGGACGTATTCGTAAGTGAAAGATTCGTTTTGATCTACTAGTAAATAAGTTTTTGGATCGAATATGGTTCGATCTTGTTTCTTATTTTCTCGTATTTCCCCTGTGTCAGTTTGAACTCGTTGTTGTTGAGCGAGGTCCTGTGGTGACTGAGTTTACTTCTAAATTCGGCATTCGCACAGCGTTTCCACTCCAGTTGGTTCGCACTCCACGCGTTGTCACAGTTGCGTGACAACTCAAATTTGTCAAAGCTTAACTATTTTACGACAGCTGTGAATAAACCGTGAACGTTACTATTTCTGGTCTGCCACGCATTGAGTACTTCAGTCCACTTATCACGGCCTAACTAAAAATGGGTGCAGTTTTGGATGCAATAGTAGGGGACCAATGGGCAAGTATTATGTACTTTGCCGGTATGTGTGCTTGCGCTATATTTGATAAGCCGTTTCAGGGTAGTGATGTCTTTTCCGTCGGTTGTTGTGGGGAATCGCTGTACGATTCTTCGCCTGCACATACGCTGCATATCTAGAGTCACCATCCCACCGTAGAATCAATCTTCACGAAACTCTTCCTTGTCCATGAATGGACCGACTATCTAACAAGCAATCCCCTACGACGACTACAACATAATCGATCAGCTTGGTTTTTGTTAAGTTCGTAATGCTTGCATGTCACTCGTGCAGGTGAAGGAATACTGAGAAAGTCTTAGAATCTATGAATAACGAGGACATTTACGGTGGTTAAAAAACACGTCATTTCTCGTCCAACCTTCGTTTCCTTCTAATACTGAAGTGCCGACCTCGGTTTAATTCTTGAGGCGTGACCAGATAAAAATGTCGAAATGTGTTTGGTTCACTGTTGACTGAATACCACCATCATTGACGAACTCGTCAGATGACGCAAAAAAATCTCAAGGTCGAGGTTGCCGAGCGAATGCAGTGCTGTAGTTCAATCGTAAAAGTCCAATAGATTCTCTAACTCCCAACTGTTAAAAGTTCCCAGAGCATGTCCAATGTAACTCGGAATCTGAAGCGAACTTTTTCATTGAAAAACTGCATCAAACTAGAACAAAATGTGCCAACCAGGGTTTCATAAGTCGTGTAGATTGCTCACCGCTTGAGTCCGTTACATGAAAAAGTATAAAAATCCACTGCAAAGAGGAAACAACAGCCCAACTGATAGTACACCGATGAAGTAATCTTCTAGAAACATCGGAATGCCTTGAACAGAACCAGTGATTACTATGTCAATTAGTATCCAGCCATTTATCACGTGCTTCTAGTTTATAATGGGCCTATGGATATAAATGGCAAATTAAACACGGCATCGATTCGGATCCATTAATGTCTGCTCACATTTGTTTATCGTTAGATGACCAGGTCAAGCCAATGAGACCTTATCAGGCCTTAAAGTTGGCTCTGGAAATGAGGGCAACGACAGGACACCAAGATGTGTAGCCAGTGTAGCCTATGTTGCGCTTGAAGTGACTAGGGTTTTCGAATTTTTGTATCAGGTGGTTCAAATCTGGATGATTTGGCATCATTCTTGAGGCAGCAATTTCGTCTAGCGGATATCCGACTGGAAACAAGAGCCTGTACGATAAAGTGATTTGTCTACTGTAAATATTCTCAAACATCTGAAATACGATTTTAAACACCTACCTCGGCTATAACGATCTCCTCCCCTGGAACAGCCCATTTTCATATTCACTAAGTAACGGGTATCCCAGGAGATCTTTCGTCGATCTTGTTTTCGGTATTCCCCCTTATTCGATATGTTCTAGACTACTGTTTTATTGACTCTGCGCCCTTTGTGATGGCTGTCAATCTACTGTCCCCCTGTCGTTCGCTGATGCGAACATCGTGATTGGCGTTGTCGAACGCAAGCATGGCTTCGAGAATTTAGCTTAACTTCCGTTTTATCCAGGTGTACACCATCATGTGAACGCATGATGGCTTTTTGGTTTTCTGCTTTCTGCTAGAAGCCAGTCAGCTGCTTTGTTAACATGCTCTTGAAAACAACAGGCAAGTAGTTGATGGATTTTGCTAACGGTGCTTTTTATGACTTATCGATTCGTGCTTGTGCTTGCACATGAAGTAGCTGACAGCAGCTTTGGAATATCAATTACGCATCGGCTGTCAGACCGTCGAAATCGTTTTTCTCGGAAAGTCTTCTTTCACATTACACCACCTTTCCATGCTCACCTGTCTTCAGTTGTAACTCATTCCGTTCTGACAATACGAATGCACAATAGCAGCATTAGTCTCCCAGTAAAATGTAACACCTCTATGCATCAGCGATTACGCCTATACAGGCGCAACTCACATTGTTCTCCATAATCGTCTAGCACTTGGCTGGTGATTTCCTAGTGCCCTCCAGTGATAATCCGTACAACTTCTTGCGTTTGTTGTGCGGGCTCCCCGCCCTTTCGATCGTTTCTTCTCAATGTGGAGTTCGTCCTTTCGCATTGCATCCTGTACACAGGAGAATAAGCCGGTTTTACCCGTGATTCATTCCCTTCACAAACGATTGGAATACAATCAAGCAAATCCACCACAAACGAGTCTTGATCTGTAGTTATGCTACTGTTTTAATTTTTGAAACCATGCTTGCGTGCATCGCCAGGACATCCCTTCTTTCGCAGCAAGTAGCCCGCGATTGGCATTATTCTGTCGTGCAGACAGACCTTGAGTGTAATGTCTCGATTGCCTGTGTTGAATATATTCAAGCTGGTTTTGAAAACTTGACTCCAGCAGGCAGTGAGACCACTGGGAATAATGATAGTTTGGTCCTTTCCAACACCGCTGGGATTCTGTGGCACCCACGACTTTTTACTATGGTTTGGGTGGGTCTTCATTTCTCTTCCAGTGAAAAGATTCGTCTACGAAGTTTTCTTGAATTGCTTGTTGGGCAGGCTCACTTTAGGTTTTTCTTCAAAAGAAGCTGTAACGCCCTTGCGGTGCCTAGCTGCTATGCCACCCGAAGGAAGGGCAAAGGCTGATGTACTGCTAGGTTGTTCAAACCTAGGCAAGAAGAGTCGAGACTAGGTTCAAATCACAGCCCCTCCAGTCGGTAAGTTCGCACCTCAAGCACTGAGCTATCTCCAAGTGACGCATGAAATTTGCACTTGTTCTACCGTGATAATCAGGAATACGGCACATAAGTTCTTAACTTTTGTGTTAACATCGCCGGTCCTAGCTATATGGCGTTGGAATCAGGAGGAGTCATTCGTTTGGTGATCGTATTGACCACGCCTAATCTGTCAGTGACATCTGGCCACCTATCCTTTCTTTGGGCAATACTTGAGTTGGTCAGTGTAACCTTTACTGGTTCATAATATTTGTCGGCGGCGTCCCGATCGATGGATTGGCATGACGGCATAATCGACCGTTTGTTCTGTTGTAACACAACTGAATGTGTCAGCAAAACCTGGAATTTGTAGCACGTGTGGTCATTCCTCCCCCAAGGTTTACCCAATGTGTTCGCGGCGTTCATACTAATGACACTGCGCGACATCGCATTCTACTGTCAGTTCTGCCCCGTCAGCCACGCAACGGTCAGTCAGGTGTACCTTTCCTGACTGACTAGGTGAGCTGACAACTAGAAACCCGTATTACCACGTGACGCCATGACAAGCGGTTTGTTGCGTTGCAACCATACCACCGGTGGCTAGATTACTGAAACCGTTAACGACATTCTTGGAGCGATTCCAAGCTCAACTGTCTGTTCAGTCTCTGCAGAATGCTTATCTCACTGACAAAGGTCAGATCAACGGCTTACTAGGATTTTAAGACTGATGACTCATACTCCTTGTAAGTTCTCAAAACTAAGAACCAGACCTTACAACATCGGAGTTATAAGGCTCAACACTGTAAGTGCTATCCGTTTACAGTATCGTCAATAAATTCCCTCGCAGGCGTTTGCTAGCCAACGGCGCAGTCCAAAGTCGTTCACTCCAAAAAATTGTTCGTTCCTGAGAGGATCCTATAATGTGTTCATGGTAAGCAGTTTGGGAGTTTGGAAATTCGTTCGTGCCGAGAAGAGATTCGCTCCCAGAACCAACTATTGTTTCATCAAACAAGTTATGCTCTCTTACTCTTGAGAATAATGGATTTGAAAAGATTGTTTGTAGGACCCGTAAACTGATAACGTGGTGGTTGATCGTGACGGTTGGTACATTATTCATTGAATACACTTATCCCCAAAAAGACTGTTGGCCGTGAGTTAGACTTTTCGATCGAAGGCCAAAGCTGAGGAATCCTGATCAAGGCTAAGCTTTCCTGAAAATGCTACGGGAAATAGATCCAACGTGCTACCTAGTGAGGAGTACGTCAAAAAACTTGTTCTGTTGTTTTCTTCGACTTTTGCCGTAAATTTTAAATGCTTGCGAACGTTGTTGAGGATATGATAAGTTTATTCCGTGTGGTTATTGTCAGTGCGGACTGCAAAGGTATCTTCCATGTTTCGTGTATGGAACTCCTCTTGGGATCTATACTCCAAATGACCGAACTTGTATCCGAGCATCTGTCCCATCAGGCTCCTGATTGCGACACCGTCTGTCTGTTTAAAGTATGTGCTTTTAACGACTACTGTACATTGGTTGCGCATAGGCATGTCTTACGTAAACCGTCTAGAGGAGCCCCTAAGTACGGACCATTTCGACTGGCACAATCATAAATAATGTGATTTTTCTAATGAACTAAAGCTTATGCGCAAGCAGTGTGAATCTCTTATGAGGTTGCTGTTATCTTCCCTATGCCTCTCAAACTGGACTGCAATCAGTAGAGTTCTGTCCTGCTGGTCAGTTGCAGGCTATACGTTTCATGTGACTGCTTTTTACTCCACCTCCCTCAGCATGAACTGGTTACCCAGCCTCACCTGACTAGAGCATTAACTTTGAGGCTGTTGGAACTCAATCGCAATCCGGACCGCCTGCTCACGACTGGAGTCAACTCGGGTGCACCGGTTCCAAAACCACTGGCTCCCGCAGCTGCTCAAACACCTCAATCAAAGGGCCCTGCAAGTCCGGCCCTACTTCTTGGGAGACCAGACTTGCTGCCTGTCGCATCACCTCTATCCAGTGCCAATTCCAGTGGAAGGGAGAGTAAAGTGAGTGTATCGTTTGTTGTGGTCATTCATATTGCATTCTTTTTTCTTCGGAGTATTAGCCCTCCGTACTTTTCATCCGACCTTGATTCATGAACCATACAGATTTGGATTCCCCCTGCGTCTCCGATTTTTTGTCCTAGATCTGATGTGCGCTGCATTTGACAGAATGCGTCCGTTGGTGTTGCTATTCATATTTTTGAACTAAGCTGTTCGGTGTAAGGTTTGGATTTCAACATACGCATAATCTTGTGTGGCTAGGTACAGCCTTCCGTCTACTTTAGTCAATTTGAGAGAATAGATGTTCTCTAGAGTAATTTCTCCCTCAGTTAATTTAGTCGCTGCTATTTTTTAAAGGCTTTTGACTCTCCAGGTTTTCGGATCTATGCAATTGAGCTTGCATCTGTGAGGCCTAATGCTCGCCAAACTTTTTCTTAACGTTCCCGATGTCACGGTCTCCTGTAGTTTTCTAACATGGGACGCTTATTGATCCCGTCTGGTGTTTTTTTGATGTTGGGTGGAAGCACTCTGTTGAATGACCTTCCAGGAAGTTGCTTCGATAAAGGGTGTCGTTATGTTCCATCGCACCAGTTAGGTTATGCAGATCACCTGTCGGAGTACTGCTAGCTTCTGATGGCTCTCTACTCAGTCCGAGTAAAGTCGACCTACAGCCGGTCAGACAATGACCTCGTAGAGAATAATGAAAGCGTCAACTAGAATACCTCGTCTTTTCAGTGACTGTCATTTCACTTGATGAGATGATGCTGGTGATGGGACGTAAAAGTACGACGAAATATTAACGTAGCCCGACAGTTCGTATATCTGAACTATCGATAGCACACCCACCACCAACATATTGAACCTTTTCACATTGGGACTCGCTATCCACCAACAGTACCTAATCCGAACTGTCGCAAATTGCTGTACCATTCTGTATCTTCTCCCCTCGCGACAACTAGACGCGCTCCACCTTGGTGTCTGGCTAGTGTCCGATGCACTCACTAATTGTGTGTTAGTTTACTGAATCAGCCTAAATCCCTGTTGGTGTGATAAGAATTGTTTGCTATTAGGTCTATCCATGTGCCATATAATGTCTTCGAGGTCATCATCGCGGACATCAAAATACAATACAGATTATCCTAGCTGTATGCCACAGAAATCTCTACCTACCTCTACCTTTCATTTGAATCGACTGGGTTTAACTGGGTTCCTCATTTTCAGGACCGTACTTTGGTTCTTCAAAAGGATACACAGGTGCGTATGCGTGCTCAACCATGTGGCCTGTGTTCTTGTTCGAATCATCACTTTTTTCGTGTTATTACCTTGTTTCACCACTGCCGGAACCATTACTCGCAGTTCGTTTGTCCACCACCCACTCCCCTAATTCCGTCTAATTAACTCGCATGTAATTCACATGTCGTACGTCCACCTTTTCCGAAGTGTTGTGTATTTGTGTGGCAGAAACAACACCATCCGGGAACTAACCTGCTTTTCTCTGTGCCGTTTTTGTCGTTTCGTATCAGTCCATTCATCTCCAGCAATTTTGGCTGACTGCTACCTATCTTGGCTTGCACTCCGTCCTGGGGACTGGCTGTTTTTCGCATTCCTAATCTCTTGTTTGCTCAATGTGGTTCGCTCCACCTTGCTCAACTGTCGTTAAATAATCGATGGCAAGATGTTAAACATCTTGCCAACTAATTTTTTACTGCTGAACCTGCAAGTATTTTTACCGTGCTAGCGTACTGGCAACAGAATTAGCAATATTATTGCATATGAATACCTTCACAGACATTCAATACAGTGTCTAGACTTGTGATTTGATTATGTCGATATGTAGATCGCCGCACATACCGTCCATTCAGTGTTAGGCCCCAATTTCATTTGCACCGAAATACCGCAGATCACTCGCTATTTTTGCATGTGTACTTACCTCTTGTCATGTTGATTAGTTTTGGAGTCGTATCCACGGTGTATACCGGCTCAATAAGCTTTAAATGAATTTATATTGTGGTTTCCTTGACACGCAATGGACCCTTAATCTTAATTACTCTTAACTTCATCCAAGAAGATTATTCCTGGTAGTTCGGCGGGTTAAATCTCTCTAAAGTGCCACTAGTTTTCTTTTCCTGCCGTGTATCATGTAGTTCAATTAGGTATGGATCCTAGGATCACCGAGCTGGGCACTGAATTGTTCAACGAATCGTGGAGTTCCGTAATCAACTGGCAATTCGTGCCACGTCGTCTTGCCATGCTCCGTTCATAAGCCACGATTTTCTTCACCAAAAGATATCCACTAGTGTAATAAGACATACTGGAATGATTTTGTGGTAGTTCCTGTCCATAAGGTCGTCTGAAATAGGTCCTTGAATGGTATTGGTGGGTCACTATTCTCATCTGACAACTAATCCTTCCTAGTTTATTTTTCGCGGAACAACGTCGTGTTTCTTGGGGTTCTAAGGGTTTTCAATATTTTTTGGCCGTTCGTAACGATCTGATAATTACGCTGCCGAAACGTTTTTCAGTGCTTCTTTTTGAAGGCCATGCTTTTTGGTCACTGAGTGCAACAAAATCAATTTCTCATGACGCTACAAACTGATTGTCGAAGTTGAACACTGATCCTTTACTGGTGTTGATGTGATCTATGGAACCTTCCCCGTTAATTTTCGGTAGTTTCTGAGGAAACTGTAATCACCAGATGCGATCACACCTTTAAACTTCCGGCATAATTTCAGACTCGTGACTCGCTAATCATCAGGTCTTCCGCGGCAATCGATGACTAGTCAGCTAAAAGTCTACGACTATTAACCAGCAGTTAAGTTGTCTGAAGTAGCCAATGGCTGGTTAGGCAACACCACACGACGGTATTAATCCGCCCACTATTTTCTACTTCTTCTATCTCACAGTCACAGCATTTCGTAACACCTTTCTGTAGCGCACTTGATTATTTGCGTTCTGTAGTTAGGGATGTTGAATGGTCGTCTTCATAAATGATTAAACTACAGACTTTCAACCCAGCTCAGTCGATTTCCACGAACCATGCACCCCTCGAACAGTCTTCTACACATGGGTCTATTCTATTCCTTTATTCCTCTGAATGTAAGGGCCAAAGGAATAACCGTTAAGCCCGTTCTTCCTGACGCGTCTCAAAGTTCATTTCGATACTTACAATCCATGGCCATAGGTCTCGGTGATATTTCAGATGTCAAGCCTACTGTTCACTATCAGCAGTGATCACTAAGGTTAAAAATAGTGTCAAGCGTCGTGNACTCAACTACCGGACTAGGTAACGCTCACATTTGAAAGTATGAGAACACTAACCGGATGGTTCAAGTTGTTAGAGCGCGGATTTACTGACCGGAAGGTTCGTGGTCCGAACCCGACCTCTGCCTCTCGACTTCCCCTGTCTAGGCTTGGGCAAACTGGCAGTATCACAGCCCTCGTGCTTCCTTCAGGTGGCGTGGCAGCTAGGCACCGGAAGGGTGCTGCAGCTGAATGATTACTTTATTATTACTTTAACCAGTAAGATTGGTCGGGTCGACTACTGCCGCCTCTCTGGATGAAGATCCCTGGACTCAACTCGCCAATGGCTAATGACACTGACAGAAATGGCCCATCGCGCAGTCAGCGGCGCTCGTGCATCAAAGTTATCACCTTCAATGCGTATTTGCCCACTTTCCAAACAAACTCACCCCGTTGCCTCCAAGGCTTTGCTACATGCCCCCGATTTCCTGTTTTCCGGTGGCCGAAACTGTAACAGATGGAACCAGTGTGCCCATGGTACACGTTTTATAGCTGATAAATTGAATGCATTGATTGACCAGGAAGTATAATTAGAGTATAATTAGAGTGTGATTAGAGGAGGATCTCTGTTTTGGAAGGTTGGGCTAGCTGAACTAGTTCTTGGTTGCTCACTAGCCGGTAAAAGATAACAGGAGGGTTAGTTATCAGCACACTCTGTAAAGTCTGGTAACTTGCACAATCAAAATGATAAGCTCATGCTTCGTTTATGTCTGGCACAACAGTTTAGTTCACTCATCTGTTTCGTTCGAGCCTTTGGATTGGGAATCTGATGCGGTCTATTTGATTTACTCTTCCGTTTTGTTTGAGCGGCATGGACTCCTTCAGTACCTATGTCACTTGGCTGGCAGTTCACTGAATGTTTGCCTTCTGCATGAACTTGTTTTTGACTGCACCTATCATGCCACGGATATTTTTCGGAATATGCGCTACTCGATTGCGAATTTTCGCTCTCTCTGCTCTGATAGAGTTCATCAAACGAAAGGCCAGACAGCACCACGAAGAGGAAACCTTCAGTCGGATCCAATGTGCGCCCGCAGCCGCCAGAAACAATGCATACACCTTGGTCGGGTCCAGGAGTTGTCAGCGAAGCTAGTTCCATCTCGCCGGATGCTGCCACTCCAGTCGCGTCCCCTAAAACGCCAGAAGTCAACTCAGCGTTAAAGCCCTTCCCGGCAGAACGCATTTTTCCTGTTCGTCATGCTACGCCTGCTGGTCCTCCCTCAGCTACTGGTGAGGCGCCTGTTCAACCGGGTGCTAACTCGTTAAAATCATTATTGGAAAAAATACGTATCATGGACGAATTGCCCACTCCCCTACCCGCTTATGTTGCGATGGCACCCACAGCCTCTCCAGCTGTCAAGCCATCCGGTGAATGTATTAAGCTCCTTACTTCTGGGAAATCACCGAAAACCGCTCTGACCTCTGCACATTCGCATAAATCCAAAGCCTCAGAACCAGTGGAAGCATTGGTACAACAGGTTCAGGTTCTCCCTTCAGTGGCCTCTGTCCCGACACCTGTGGAAGTTCGTGCCTCATCGGCTAGCGGTTATTCTGACACTTCTTCCTGTGCGTCTGCTTCCACTTCTCCGAGAAGTTCTTGTTCTTCCATAACAATGGAGGCCGTTCAACAGGCAGAACTTCGGGCCCAGTCCAGCCATCTTTCATTAACCAACGGGCAACAGCGTTCGGCAAAACTTTCCAATTCCTCCTCCTTGGTGGATCACACCGCAGAGGCTGTGCTACCCAGTGAGGAAAAGAACTTACGCAAAAGCGAGAACGGCAGCTCAGCTGTCGATGGTTTCACGCCATCCGCAGCGGACGCAGCGTTGTGTCCTGACCACTTGACAGTATTCGAACCGGTGATTTTGCAAGATTCCCTTGAGGCCGAATTTGTTCCAATCGATGCTGATGTGAGTATTTTTTGTACATAATTGTTGGCTTAACTTACCTAGACTGTATCTCACCAATATGTGCACGTCTATGTATACCTCGGCTTGCATTCCCTTTTAGTTCATATTTGACCTTATCACTATTATTATTGTCGTCAACAGTCCTTGCCTATCAATGTTGTAGACTGGTACGCACCACTTCAAGGTGGAAACGAATTACCGTGGAGGTTATTTTCCTCGAGCTTTCGTTGGTCACAATCCCGACTGTCCATGCATACGTTCGTTTCACGAACTGTAGAACGGTGTATCCGCCTTTCGTATTTATTCGTATCAACCTTTGCCCCTCTGTATCGTACTTGTTGGGTACTCACCGCTTTTGGGGAAATGTCTTAGTTACGGTTCTTCTCTGTTCTTCACGCTGTAACAACGTCGGTGTTCCGCGATCGAGTTGAAATTGCTGATCGCTTTTCTGGATTCGTCCTGGCCCCTGTCTCTGGACAATGTTGACATCCCAGGAGAATTCCTTTCATGTGTGCTCTTTTTGCTTGTTTCTCACTTTCAAGCCACTGTTAGTGGAAGTCTTTCTCCAGTTCTTTTCGTAGCACCAACTCGCCTTCACGTGACCCTAAATAATCATATTTGAAGGCACGCTACTCGATTTTCATTACCTATTTCTCATGTCAAATGATGCGTCACAATTAGGCACATGTTCTTTCTCCCAAGATCTTCAACCAGCACCTCATGCATTCCAAAGGCACATGTGTATATGCGCCTCGTGTTAGGTAGAGTGCTTCATGGAATATCTACCAACTGTTATCCTTTGAGTCTATACAGTTTGGTATTGAGCAACCGACCTGTTTCATGAGGCCCCTTCACTCTAAAGTCCTATAGAAATCGCATAAGAATTTTGGTTCATTCCTCTGTTTTGGTTGAACTGGCAAGCCTTCAATTCACGAGCATTCCTGGACCGATCACACTATTCATTGGATTATCGACTAACAACATTGTGTCGGTATTGTTTAGCTTTTAACCATCCCTCAAATTCAAATGATAAGCGGAACTGGCAGGAATAGTTGATCACCAACTGCACTACCGGCACTAGTAGATGATGACACTCAGGGATATTGAGGTCTTCTGATAGATCTGCAGGACCGATTTTGCCGGTAGTACCTCTTCACAGCACTGAATGGGGACCACGATGCAACGAACTGGATCGTGTGCTTTACCGAGACTGTATGACGACACTCCGTGGACTAATGCGAATTAAAGGAGGGGTTTGGTGCGCTTTAGGTAGTTCAGATATCACCTAGTCTCCATTTTCTAGCCAACCTGTACACGTTGAACTATTACATCCTGAAATTGTGCCACAGAATACGTGGAGAATTTTATTTGTTCAGTCAAGCGCAATGCATTCCCCGATTACCAGCAACCGTTCACATCAGTTGTCGCCAGTTTGACCCTGTTTGCACAGCTTGTTTTATATGACCACCGTAGCGTTCATATCCGTTGCTTGCACTAGTTGGTGAATCCGCATGCACTGGGTACTGACCAAATGCTATGTTGTACGCGTTTGCTGCTCTTTCCGTGTTGTCACGCGCGATCTACCCTTCTCCGTTATACCTCCCTCCTCCCACTCACACAGGCACTTGTACTTAGTCCGACACCGGTGCTTTCACAGACGCCTAAGCAATTATGTACTGAGCAATCACTGACCTCATTGGTAGGTGAGCCTCCGCAAGCGGTCGATTCAACCATGCCCATATTGAAAGAATCTCAGGACGCGCCTCTGGAACAGAAGGATGTAGACTCTTCGTCTGATGAACACGACTCGCATGAAGACTACTCAGAAAGTGATTATGATGATGAAGAGGAAGAAGAATGTGAGGAGAATGACCTTTCTGATGACGATAACTACTCCCAAGAATCTCATGTCACACGCGGGACTGTCACTACCATAGAGTCTAATTCCTCCGCCTCCTCTACTGAAATACCACCTTGCGCTGGTCATCCTCTTGAATCGACAGTTACAAGCTCCAAAAAGGCACCACTGACATTCCAGGCAAATGATGCTCCTGATGTCGTCGAGAGGAAAATAACGGCTCCCTATGCTTCGGTAGAAAATCCGGACGAATGGGACCTCAGTGTGGCGGATGATGACTTATTGGCAGCCGATGGTCTATTGCTCATAAATCGTCACGGAACGGTAATTTCTCACCTGTAACTAACTTACACAGCTACCAACCCCCATGTGCCATTTATTTCTTTATTCCTCCTGTATTCCCGGTTTTACCTCATCGTTAATCGCTCAGGTTCCCCCTTATAGAGCTACTTCAATCCCATAGCTACCTTCCAGTTAGAAGCGTTTTTTGTTGATTCAGGTGCCGGTGAAATTGCTTTCACTAGTTTGTTGTATTTATGTGTTATTACCGGGTGCTTGTGATTCGATTGTCTACCGATACTACTAATTGGGTCGTTTCTGGTCGCCTGTCGCGCTGGATTTTTCGATTGCCACTTTTTAACCGAACAACTGTTTCTTAAGACCAAAACTCGTTTTGGTTAAGTAAACCAGTCCGATCAACTCTTAAACATTACACTTCATTCAGGCATCGCGAAGTAGTCAATTAAAAATACGTTCCCCTCATACCTCACTGAGGTTTGTCTGTTTTGCCCCATGCTTCTGCTGAACGCGCAAATCAGGCTTTCACATGCTTCTCAATGTTCTAACGCTAGTCCTCGACTGCAATGCAGTTTCATGCTGTAGGGTGCACTGTTGAAACTGATTCAGTGCATTACCGTCGTCGTCCCCCATATGATCATAAGGACCACCCCTGTGGAATGCTAAAGTGGTCTTTTTTAGTTTTACGTGTGAAGGGGGATAGTTTTTCCTGCGAATTTCGCTTTTGTCTTGACTTATAACTTTTGACCGCGTTTGTCTAGTTACTTATTTTCCTAAAGTTGGCTCAACACAGCAGCAGTTCACGCACCTGTAATGTGTTCACGTTTCCAACTCCTAGCCAGCGTACAAACGAACGTCACTCGTTTTCGCAAAGTTGTCGTTTCGAGAGACATTGAACCAATAATTGTTGGTTAATGGAGTATTAAGCATGTATTCTGTCATGGACGTATTTATCAGTGAAGTCACTATTGTAGGCCCGCATGGTTTAGCTAGTTTAAAGTATGCTGTTAAAAGTCGGCCGGAAAGAAAAAACAACCCAGGATTGGGCTAACAGAACAGTATTCATGGCCTCACTTTCTTAGATCTCCGTTCTTTTGGGTTCCTGGGACATCCTTCATCCAAGTTGTGGATTTTCAACGAAGTGTGGTAGCCCTACCTGGTTCGTCCTTTTCAGCCGCCTCAATGACCATCATGTTTTTTTTAGCAAATCAGAATCCTGATGGTCATTCCAAGTTGTCATACTGTATCTCAGTGTGGTCACGTGTTCAAACCTGGGTAATAAAGGTCACACCAACATAGTATGTGCAGTCACACATGTAAAATCTTTGGTTGTCATATGCCCTTGAAGAAATCCTATCTGCGAGCGAGACTAATTAACGTGCCATGTGAAATCAAAGCAACACCTGTTTTTCACCGTCGTAGGCAGTCAGCTACAGTTCGTCGCGTTTTCAGATCTAGTTGTCAAAAGCAGTAGTGACAACTGGTCGTTCCTGTGATTTGTGCGTGGATGATCAGGGTAATCGAGTTATTGGCACAGTCATGAGGTTGCACTGTGTTGGCTCTTTATAGAATTCTTTTTTCGCAGAGCTAGTTTCTCTTATTGCCTCTTATTTTGCTGACATACAGCTGCGATCACCCGCTGAAACACTTGTAGCCCGACTACTAGACCCCATCACCGTACCATCCCATCTGGATTACCTCATCTTCTGAATACACCTTACTAGACTCTCCCTCACTCTAATGTTATTCAACCCAGTTCGGTTTAGACGTGACTGCAAGTGCAAAACGTACCGTGGTACCGTAGAAAGATGTCTGCCTCCTGGTTTGCCACCTAAAGCAGACCATTGGATAAGCTGGCATTGGCTGTCCACCGAAAATGGTGTACTGTAGAAACAACGGAAGTCGTTCGGTGACTCGTCCCTCATATATGCAAAGTGGTACCATAAGTAGATAATGGATTGTAGGTAAGATCGGAAGGGTTATCCAACTTTTAGCCTTTCGGGCTAAAAGTTGTGTGTGTGCATACAAAAGTTATTCGAGTAGTAAATGAGGTCATTGACAGTTGTTAATGATAATTTAATTATACCAATATTGGTAATGATAAGAATAACTCATTTGTAACCCGCTCTCAGTGCGTAGCTGTCATGCTTTCCAAAGGAAACACGGGCCGAGATACTGCCAGGTTGCCAAAACCCAGAAAGGAGCAATCGAAATGCCCGATTCGGGTGTAAGCCACGGTTCTTGCTTTAACAGCTGAGCGATCCCGAGCTCTACTGAAAATGTGAATTATCAGTAATCAGTTAGTACTGATCATTCACTCAGTCTTATTCGCTAGATGTGGGAAAATGCCTCACCGTTGGACAGCTTTAGTCTGGGAAGATTCCCAACTTTTTTGTCTTGGAAATTCTGCTGGGTGAAAGAACGCTTTTTATGGGGGATCGAGCAGTCATATATGGAGAGCTTTATAGCTTTTGCTCTTTCTCCTGTTTCATTATTCAGGATTCTGCCAGCGACCGGATCAGCGAATTTGGCTTTCGCATACATGGAAACTCGGACGGAGAAGAGGACGCAGACGAGGAAGACGGAGAGTATGAGGACTTTTTGGAGGACGATAAGCATCCGTAAGTGCGAACTACAGTACAATGACAGGATCGTATCAACTTTAACGACGTGTTCTTTGAAGTGGTCAGTTTCCCCGAATAAATTATTCATTCAAATTCATCATATGGCCCTGGTCTCACTTCATAAACATTCATTCCAGATCAATTATACTGTTGTCCTAAATGTACCATCACCAAGCAAATAGTGGCCGTATGCGATCATTTGCTCAGAACTTTTGGATAGCTGGCTTTCTTGACAACCGCGAGAGTGCGACGTAAATTGAAGAACCGCTCCGTAAGCAAATTCCGGCACCGCGTTTCCCAATCATATTGCCGATGTTTATTACAAGGGTCTCGAAACATCATATTTTGTCTACCATTGTAACTTCCCGGTCTGAAATTAAAAACTTCTCAGACTGCATATCCGATGAGCAATACTCGTCGGAAATGCTCACACCCGTTGCAATAGTGCACCCTTGGTGTGGTGACCTTACCGTTGAGGGTACTGTGTTGATCACATGGCTCATCTGAAACAGATACACCTGTTCTTCTAGGTCTTGTGCACTTCGGCAATGTCCGTGAGATGTTACTTTTCTGCACAAGCGTTTATTTTTGGTCCGAGCTCAGCCACGTCCTTGGTAGGGTTCGTCGTCTGATCCGACTGAAGACTTCTTTATTAGTAGTTTCTCGGTTTTACTTCCTGGATTCTGGGTCTGATGACCAGTTTGCATAGCTGGCGATTTTGATTTTACAAAGTAGTGTAGGTCTGAACGTCCATTGACTTGTTCGCACTGATGATTGATCAGATCAATGGCCCAGTTTGCAGCATCAACGGGCTTGGTATCAGTGACGATGGATCAAACTTCTTTAGTTAATTACTGGGATTTGGGAGATGTTAGGTCAATCTACGGGAGCTGAAAATGTTCAGACAAACTGTAATTCATTGATTGAGCCTGTCTGAGGCGATTAGTCGTTATGAGCTCAGAGCTGAAGTCCCAAGAAAGGCAACGTTCGAGAAGACTTATTTTTCATGGTAGTACTCACTTCAGCAATGGAACTGGTCAGCGCTTTTTACATAATAAAAATCGTAACACATACAATTCCGTTCATTCGCCATTCATTTCGCCACCCGCCTGATTCACTGGAACGTCTGAGGAAGCTTCCTCCAGCTGCCGGTTTTTGAACTCCTCATACTAGGCGACACTGGAGCTTTAAGGAATCCTTGATTTCCCGCGGTGTACTTGCTCTCCTTGAGGTCATTAAGACATCCACTTAAACGTTGCCTATGCTTTCACCCGTATTACGGTAGTCAGTAATACACATGGTTACAGACTGCTTCGCACCGTATTCCCTGGCTTCTCGCGTCAATCCATAGATTAAAGAAACCTGCAGTTGAACGATCGGTTGAAGTTTTTGGTGGGCTCTTGCGACTCATTTAGCGTGACAAGACTACAGCGGACATTTAATGGACAGTTTTATTAGGACACAATCTATCGGTTCAAGTGTAAGTGCGTACGTAAAATTCAGCCTAATATGTATTGCTTGAATGACGTGGATTTTTGGAGAATATTATGAACTAAAGTCGCTCGAAATGACAATATTCTGTGTTTGATTGCGCCATCCCTGGCATCTCTTACGTGCAACTAGATAATTATGGCGACCAGCGAAAAAATCGTTCAGCTGTAACACCTTTCGGTGCCTAGCTGCGATGCTACACGAAGGGAGCATGAGGGCTGGGTTACTGCCAGGTTGCCCAAGCCTAGACAGGAAAAGTCGAGAGGCAGAGGTCGAGTTCGAACCACAGACCTTCCGGTTAGTAAATTCGTGCTCTAACCAGTCATCCGGTTAGTAAATTCGTGCACTAACCAGTCAGTCCATCTCGCCCCTGTCACAACCAGTCACACATGTAGCACAATTCAATTACATAGTCTGTGAAACTAATGTTTCATATCCAACCACCTGACCCCGATAGTTCCTCTCTTCAATCTGTTTCCAGTGTTAACTAAGCCGGAATAACCAGCTTCAAAAGACTTGTTAAGTTTAATCCAGTCGTCGGTCCTTGTTTTGTCCAGGTCGTTCAACACAGTCCCTGAACTTGTACAATTTTTACTCAATAGGCTGACTATACCTGACCAACTTCCTGATCTGCGAGCCGATCTCCCCATACCTCAAGTAACCGACGCTCAGCGTCCCCGGAGTCCGGATGTCGTTGGTGATCACTTGCCACAAGTTCTTACAGAAAGCATGCCAGCCAATGGTGTGGTGGATGAAAATATTGTGGTAAATTCTGACCAACAGACCAACCATTCGACAGCAGCAGCCCCGAAGAAACACTCCTCCGAATTGACCTATGAACCGGAAGCATTGAAGGAGTTCTATCCGGATAAATCTGGAGAGTATGTGTATACCGGTTACTTTTTTTTGTCTTGAGCCTATGGTTTAACTAGTTGTGTTTCGTTAACTGAGAATGTTACTAACTTGACAAAACTCAGTACACAGAAGCTCTGTTGAAGCCTCATATCTCAGGGACGCTGTTTTTCCAAATTTTCAGCACTGCGAGCGAACACACTTGTGGGGTATTTTTGTCGTCAAACTGACCTGGCATTCCTCATGATATTTTAAAGTCACTAGGGGTATCTAGAGGTTCCGTATAAAGATTTTCCCCTGAAAGTCTACACAGAGAAGCACTGAGTAGCTATTGCATCCTTACTGGAAGTCATAATCAGTTAGGTGTGATCATCATACTTTGGAAGGTTCAATTCCGCAAGCTTCCGGATAAGAGCTTAAACCACTCGTCTACATATGGCTGATCGGTAATACGTTTAAATTAACTTTTGTGTTCCTCCCCTCGCCGCTGTTAACATTTGTTGTATACGTTGATATGTGAAGAATTACATATTTGTAACTGTTTCAGCAGTTTAAGCACTGTGTAGATTCCAGTTAATGTTCGTGAGCCGAAACGCTAAATGGGGTGTTAGCGACCTACGGATAGATAACTTTCAAGCTGGTGCGCCGTTTAAGATGATACTGAAAGCCAATAAATCTACCAGTCAAGTAGTTGGCCGACTGAAGAAATCGCTTATTCCATGCACACTAATCTTCGGCGATACACGGTTAATCCCACTCCCAGGCGATCATTACAGCAAACTCGCTCTATATTTTCAAAGTTGGCTTCTCAATCAGCAGTATATGCTAAAATGTCCTCGGACTCGAACCCTGTCGGATATATTTTAAGCCTGGTTACGCTCAGTCCGTTAATGATCGGGACATCCCATGCACGTACAAATAGTCTCGCGTTGTCGTTTAGTTGGTTATTCGCTACACTGTTTTTACCGCTGTCTTCTATCCTTTCCCTTTTGTTTCTGTTGTCAGATCTTGTCTAGCTCTACACCCGACCGCACCTTTTTGTTTTCACGTCATGTCCTGTTTGGTTGCTTAGTTGCCGGGTTGTATTGCGTCTCGCGAGTTGATCGATGAATTGTCTGACCCGTTGGGAGTGCTGTCACAAAGGCAAAAGTTGGACCCGTGCTGAATAGATTTACAAACAATGACGGCTATACTGTCTATAGCAACCTGTAGGTTTTGTCTTATTAAATAGAAATGGACCAACACTTTGGAGTTCATATCCAGCGAGAATGTTTCAGACGTCCAATTTTTTCAGTTTATCAACTACAAAAGCGTGTATTATTGACAAGTTGATTTCAGCTGCCATAAAGTCAGATCAGAGGTAATCACCAACTGGAAACAATGTTCTGGTGAGTTTGTTCTAAACGGGAGGAAAGTAATGGAGATCTAGTGGAGTTTATTTGCGTAGCTAAGGTTATGCATACCCAACCTTCTACATTTCCCATCCGAATACAGACAAGTTACCAATGTGAATGACTTCACCGCTCGTTGACATGGCATAAGCTACTCTTCCGGTTCATTTGTACCCAGCACGTGGTACAGCGAGAATATTTATGCTTGAAAGCCGATCATGAGACGTACAATGTTGTAGAAATTATCCTTTTCCGCCTTAGGTTCTCAAGTCTGAGCACAATAGAGTACTACTGGAATCTCCCACTTATTGTAAGTATTCTCTATCGAATAAAGGTATTTTCTCACTGTCACTGAGCTCAAAAGTAACGGTACCTGAACAGGGCACATGACACCACAGTCGGAATATAATTCATTGCTTATCTTAGGATACCTGCTGGTGACAAGCGCTAGTGATAAGTCTATCAGTGATAACAACAGACTTTCAACAAACAGGTCCACACATCACCAGGGTAACTAGAACTAAACGAAAAACTGGTTCTATCTTCACAGTATAGATTTCCAGTTTGCACTGGCAACTGTCGTTGCACCTCGAAGTGACTGCCTTGTAGATGTGTAAGAGTCTTACAAATACCGCGGTCACTTTGGTTCATTTTCCGGTCTTGATCGACACTTATTGGTGACCAGACACTACTGACATGAAAAAGACACCTGAATCCTACTCGCCATCGAAAGCCAAAAACTCTGATTGTGAAGTGAAAAGCTGTTGTTCCTTTAGTTTGGGACTTCCTGTCGACAAATTATACCATTCCGTGTCATGTTAGCTTCTGCACGAATCTGAAAAGATATGGCGGCTTACATCAGGATTGTTACCAAACCTGCAATACCGAATGAGGAAAGGTTTCTCATTCAACGTATCAGGGGTTTTCCGGTCGTAATAAACGGTATTTTCCCATCTTACCACTTAGTGGGGTCGGTGGTCTCGCCTTTCCATCCATCTTTCTCACTCTTCTGAGCTAAAAATAATTCATTGGTTTGATTTGTGACGCATTACTACGTGAGGGGAGAAAACACTTATGGATGGTAATCGATCGATCATCTTTTGCAGTTTCTTCTGTCGTTTGCATGTCCGGTCAATAAACACTTTTCTCTCTCTGTCCGCTTCTCTTCACAGGGAACTGATGTCTCTTTTGCGGCAGCTGAAGTTCGCTCAGAAATTCGCCTGGCTTTCTGGGTACGATTTAATCGCTGTCTTTTTATTATTCTGTTCTTCTAAGGTGTACCTGATTTAGTTTTCTATTCGGTGACTTCTGGAACTGTCGATTGTGTGTATGTTTGCTCATTCTTATAGCTAATGTATCCTGTTTCCACGTACTCAGGACATTCAATGATGTGATGCGTCGTCACATTTACCTCATCTAGCTGTTCCACCTGCCCACCACCTGTAAGGGTGATTTCAAAAGTTGTTCTTTGGAAAAAATTGGCAGTTTTCTGAGTGCAGCATAATTTTTCCTAGCTACTTAGAGTTTTTGCTTTTCAACTGAGCCAGCGCTATATCCAACGTTATTAATCAATCACCAGCGTAGAACGATATGGCCTCAGCTATGCTGGTAGACTATACCATTCAGATGGCCCTTTGCAGGCGAACAAATAGGGCTTGCTGTAAAGAGCTCATTCAAATGGTCTGGTGACAACAGGGGATGCTATCCGTTTATGATCAGTTATTGTGATATCCTTAAAGGTGATATTTCGGATCCAGCGCTCCTTCAGTAGGTCGGGACATTCATGCAAAGCTTCACGGAACATACTAAATGCTTTAAAACAGTTTTTTGCTAGTAGCAAATCGTCAAACTCATTTTTATCTTGCTAATTAAATCCTTGTTTGAGTATAAGAAATTCAACGTGATTGGAAACTTGGTAATTTGTGATGTGATTTAAAAAATGAATTCAACTTTCCAATCGGACAACTCAGGTGATGTTCATGTGTCCGAAATGCGGTCCACTTTTCTGCACACATTTCCCTATTTCATTTATTCCCGCAACTACCGCTATTCGTGGTAACCTCCTTCGTTATGTATATCGCGTACGATCAGTAAACAATTCGTAGCACAATGCTCTAGTGGTAGGTGATTTCCCTCGTTCGCCTTATTGCCCACCTATCCAACTAGAGGCGAGCCCCCTGTGTAAGTTTCATCAGTCGTCCAGTTGACCGCATGTACTGCGATGTCTGCATGTTTCGCTTTTTGACAGCTTTACAGTGCACTTTCCTCGTTTACCTCCTTCCATCTTTCTCACTCGTCCATTCTCTAGCCGTTGTCCATTTTACAGCATGGTGAGAACGCAGACACCTGGGTTCCGATCACCTCTCGTGGTTGTATGTCATTAGAATAGCAAAACCAAACCAGCGTTGTCAGTCACAAGACTTCTTTACCCCACTGCTGACGCCCATGCACTAGATAACTCATTACTTAACACCTAAACTTACTGACCGGAAAGTTCGTTGTTTGGATCCCACCTCAGCATCTCAATTGCCCCTGTCTAGGATTGCGCAACCTGGCAATATATCAATCTTCATTCCTCGAGTGTCATGGTAGCTATCCGCCGAAAGACGTGTTGCGAGCCAGAGAATTCTTCCGGTGGTGTGGTTGGTCGTATACCTTGTTCATAATTCTGTAGCAATTGATTTTTTTCTTCAATGATTTCATCCCAGGTCATGCGCAAGACCTGATGTAAGCCGACCTTAACGGTCTATCTGCGGATAACTAACTGCAGCAAGTTATTGGACAAGGTTTACTGCACAACGCACCTAGGTAGACTTTTACTCTATGTGGCACACAGTCGCTCACACCGGTTCGCCAAGCACACACTGTTGTACTTCCTGGCAGCCATGGTGAGAGTGAAGCGGAAGTCCAATACCTGCGTCGGTTTCCTGAGTTTTCTATTAGTGATTGAACACAGCTCATTTACTTAGCGCTCTTTCCCCGAATAGATGTTATTCTACTCGTACTCCAAGACAGAACGACCCGGCCTACCCGTTTGCTCTATGACAACCCTTGGTTATACGCTTGTTCAGAGCAGTACTTGAGATTTAGTGGCATAGAGTCTTGAAAGTCGAGCAAATGAATTGCAGTATGGTCACGGACAGTGAAGCCGGAACAAAATTTTAGTAGAATCTACGAATGCAGTGCTAAACACCATCGCCATCATTATCAGCTGTAAGAACCGCGTACTTGTGGTACAGTGATGTAGCTGTCACAATTTCGTCCATCGATATTTATGAGCGGACGCCCCGGGAGCACCTCAACCCCACAGGCATCTGAGGCTGATAGTGAGTCTTTCATAATCGAATGGATGACGAATTTCAAGATGAGAGGTGAAAGAGGACAGCCTTGTCTGACGCCACTTGATGTGATGAACTTCTCGTAGACCTTCACAGGTCCGCGGGAGTTGACGTAAGGCGCCTTAAGGAGGATCAACAATTTCTAGAGACACCTTTTCTCCATAGACACTGCCATAATATCTGACGGTCTACAGAGTCAAAGCAGCTTTCAGCTCAGGGAACGCAGCACATGTCTGTTACAGGAAGCAATGTCCCTGTTCCAAAGTCTGTCGGAGGTTTAAGACTTGATCGGTGCAGGACGGAACCCAGCTTGGTTTTCGCGGATCTGCCTCTCTCTGTGTTCAGCCAACCGTCGAATGATAAGACCAGAGGGAGCTTTTGATACTACAGCTACCAGGCTGATACCACGGTGGTTTTCACACAGCCTCCGCGTACCCTTTTTGAAGATGGGAATTACTTCCGACATCCCCTATTCTGCGGGCACCTTCGCTCCATATCGCACCAGTATGCATTGTTAGATGTGTCACCAGGAATTCTTCATCTTCTTTGAAAAGGACTGGATGTAGAGCTTCCAGTCCCGGTGCCTCTTAACGTTTCTGTACGGATATTTCGTACTTTATTTCTTCCGACGAGCGACTAAGGCTTACATTCCATTCGCCCGTACGCACATTCGCTTGGGCTGCGGGAAGCTAGCTAAACTGTTGTTCGAAGTCTTCGGTCCATATTTCCAGTCAATGTCTTTGCAAGAGAATTATTGATCCATCTTTTTCGCTTATCGTTTTAATGACCGCTGCTCTCCTAGGGCAGTCGATCGTATCAGTTGGTGTAAGGGATAGCTGTTTCTGGTAGCGAATGCCTTCTACCTCTCTCGATCTTTCGATGTCCACCATAGCTCTCGGTCTTTCCAAAGGCTCTTCACTGCTTGGCGTTTGAGGGACCTGCGCGCACCGTCGTACTTGTTGGATTTTCTGGCATCATTCGTTGATAGCATATTTATGAGCGGACGCCCCGGGAGCACCTCAACCCCACAGGCATCTGAGGCTGATAGTGAGTCTTTCATAATCGAATGGATGACGAATTTCAAGATGAGAGGTGAAAGAGGACAGCCTTGTCTGACGCCACTTGATGTGATGACCTTCTCGTAGACCTTCACAGGTCCGCGGGAGTTGACGTAAGGCGCCTTAAGGAGGATCAACAATTTCTAGAGACACCTTTTCTCCATAGACACTGCCATAATATCTGACGGTCTACAGAGTCAAAGCAGCTTTCAGCTCAGGGAACGCAGCACATGTCTGTTACAGGAAGCAATGCCCTGTTCCAAAGTCTGTCGGAGGTTTAAGACTTGATCGGTGCAGGACGGAACCCAACTTGGTTTTCGCGGATCTGCCTCTCTCTGTGTTCAGCCAACCGTCGAATGATAAGACCAGAGGGAGCTTTTGATACTACAGCTACCAGGCTGATACCACGGTGGTTTTCACACAGCCTCCGCGTACCCTTTTTGAAGATGGGAATTACTTCCGACATCCCCTATTCTGCGGGCACCTTCGCTCCATATCGCACCAGTATGCATTGTTAGATGTGTCACCAGGAATTCTTCATCTTCTTTGAAAAGGACTGGATGTAGAGCTTCCAGTCCCGGTGCCTCTTAACGTTTCTGTACGGATATTTCGTACTTTATTTCTTCCGACGAGCGACTAAGGCTTACATTCCATTCGCCCGTACGCACATTCGCTTGGGCTGCGGGAAGCTAGCTAAACTGTTGTTCGAAGTCTTCGGTCCATATTTCCAGTCAATGTCTTTGCAAGAGAATTATTGATCCATCTTTTTCGCTTATCGTTTTAATGACCGCTGCTCTCCTAGGGCAGTCGATCGTATCAGTTGGTGTAAGGGATAGCTGTTTCTGGTAGCGAATGCCTTCTACCTCTCTCGATCTTTCGATGTCCACCATAGCTCTCGGTCTTTCCAAAGGCTCTTCACTGCTTGGCGTTTGAGGGACCTGCGCGCACCGTCGTACTTGTTGGATTTTCTGGCATCATTCGTTGATAGCGATCTTGGTGAAATCTAGTGGTTTTGCGGTCGAATCGTGAAGTCGGCAAACAGCACTCACACACCTCAGGGACAACGAACCGTTAAGAGTGTACGCACAATGGCGTGATCGGAATCAAATGGTATGCCCCAGGAGGAACGGCAGTCTTGATTTGTAGCTCTCCACCGGTGGCCGATATCCACGTGATCCAACGGGGTCCACAATCGATTCGTAGTTGGTGGCCACCAGTTTACGCAATACAAACGTTTATGCTGGAAGTTTGTACTGGCCAGAAAAAGTTCATGAGCAGCACACAATTGGAGCACTCTTCGTCCGTTTTCTGTACGGCCAGCACCGACCCCAAATCGACCTCCCAATGTGATCCCAAGTAGCTCAGATGACTGACTTGTGCATTCATATCACCCGCAGGTATCACAATATCAGTGCTTTTTGCTTGACGAATGAGCCCGGATAACTCTCGATAGAAGGTATCCTTCTCAGAGTCAACTGCAGTCCGTTGGGATATAAGCCGACATTACACACAGGTACCGCTTCTTATGCCGACAGGCGTTCAGCTTGATTGAACTGAATAATGGGACGGTGTAAAGGCCACTGTTCACTGGGATCCAATCTGGCAAAGCACGTTCAGCTCTGGGGCTGAGTGCAACTCCCACCATATATTTCAGGGGTCCTCGCTTCTGTATCACCAGACACATAAAAGACTTCTTTGAGCTACGTTAACGAAGGGATTATTTTGCGCTTGTCATTCTTCTAGTCACGGGTCATCTCGGTAGCTGTCCAATCCTTGGAGAATTAGCTGTGGTTGGAAGTGATACATCTAATATACCGAGAGTTATTTAGTATTATGCTTTCCCACTCTTACAGATTAGACCGTTATCACCTCCCTGTAATTTCACGCACCCCAGTGAACTTGTTTCTTTGCTGTTTCGCTCACGTTGCTGTGTGGTGGTTAAAACATTTCGTTTGAGTGATAAAACATGGTAGTCACAGTTTTCCGGGCAGTCATGCCCGGACTAACACTATCGTCGTCATCGTCATCGTGACCGTGACCAACACCACGGTCGCCGTTATCTTCATAACTACCGTCGTTATTATTGTGATGGTAATATCACAATCACCGCCACCCAACAATAACAAATGATAAATCCACGCAACATGCGTTATACTTTATTCCGCACATGATGTAGATGTGTCTCGATATGTGCACTCACCACCCAACTTGATCAGTCATCATCACTAGTCAGTAAGCCGTCCGTAGCAGTACACGCTTTTTTCGAGCAACGTTCTCCATCGTCCGTCTGCCAGAATAGCGTCACTTGTTTAGTCGAAGCGTCTTAAGTTCTTATTGTGATCTGCCCCGCTGGTAAGTTGTATTGTAATCGTACTTGTTGTGTTGTTTGTTGACGTCCACAATCATTTCCAAGCGCATCTATCCTTTTACTTGACGCGTTGTCGAATTAGCAATCATACGATGGAACTGTTTGTTTTTCATTATCTTACTCCTTGCATGAGGGGCTTAGGTCCTTTAATCTTACTCGAAAATAGGGAAGTACCGTTGGGATTCTGGCAAAAAGTTAAACGCTCTATTACTATATGATCTGAGTTTCTCGGAACTGGTATTCAACTTAGCCAGATAGCAGAGCAAGATGGTGGTTCTCTCGATCATAACCAATGTGAGGCTGCAAGGTTCAAACAGCTTAGGATTCAGTGAGATGTTTCATCTCAAAGAAATGACTTTTCTGATGTCTTAACTTGGTATTTAATGAATGTGGTCACGCAGTTCAATCCAAGCAGATCCTCTGGAAAGAAGATCAACATGAGGCAACTTTGCCGTTTTCACGATAGTATTTTCAGGTCCACACACCGGACATCATAATTCAGACCTTCGAAATGAGATGGAGATCATAGTTAGTTTAGATTTTTCTATACAGTATCAAAATAATTGACTTTACAATTACATTACTCCGATTACATCAAGTGAGAGTTTTATACTTCATTATTTACTTGTTGCGGGTCACTTGAGTTTTTCTCGGAGTTCAGCGACAACTGCTTCATACAGCTGTCTTCCTGTGTAATTTTGAAAAATTCGCCCAAAAGTTGCATAGTTTGTCGTTAGTGACGATAAAGCTCATATTTATTTTCGATGTGATATCACACACAATTTCATTGTTTTCGCGATAGAGAAAGGATTGTCGCTAAAACCTAAAGCAGTAGTGGTCGGTACTCCGGTTTTGACCAAACTTTTTTTCATATCTTTGAACTTTTGTCCATTCACACTGACGAATTGCCTGGTTGCGTGTTCACTCTTGAGCAGAACAGTGTGCTTGCAACCTTCACTGCTCGGTGACTTTTGCTGAAACATCATCCTCCTTTTCAAGTTGTGCAATCCATTTCGTTGTTACGCAATTTCATTCTCCAGGTCCACTGTCCCGCCCTCTACACTTGCTGCGTTAACCGCAATCCAGACAACAAAACTGTCATTGAATGGGGAATCGGAACTACATCGGAAGATAACAAACAATCATCATCATAAGGGAGTGGAACAGGAATACAATGCGTCTTCACTTCCATCCACCCCACACATCTCGCCACCGGATATTAAGCAGGATACTAAAAGTCTCGAGACACCCGCTTCTCCTTTGTGCTTATCGCCAACTAGGCCTACAATGGACGATGGGCCGCCGGTGATGGACAAAGTCGAACAGCCTCGACAACCTCTACTGGTGGTAAGTGCTAAGTTTCTCCTGTTTGATATCAGTTTCATTTTTTTACTACATTTCAGTTAGTTGTTTGGAAAATAGAGGGCGTTTGGTCATCTCGCATTCCCACCTCATTTCCACTTTACGCGCTTGTGTGACGTGCGTTTTTGGTCATGATGGCGTTAACAAACAGTTCAACCGTTTGTAGGCTGTTTTGATCCAATTTGACCCTCTCTCTAGATGGTGTGATGCATCCTGCTCACAAACCTGTTTTTCAAACGATTTTTGGAAGAACTTTTGTAAGTGCTGAAAGACAATTAACTAATCTCCTCATATTTTGATCAACGTTTTTTGTCGATTGGCTCTGAATGAGCACCAGCTTCCTGTATTCATATCTAGCGCGATCTCTAGTTCGACTCCATCAATTCAGCACCAGTCAGCAGTCACACTAAACAAGTCCGGTGGGTCGGAGTTTTAATGGCCCCATGCGACGTAACCGTGCAACACTGTAGCAATCCCTGCACTCCTCCAATCCCCACTCAACCCTCACCGACGATCACACTAAACAAGTCCGGTGGGTCGGAGTTTTAATGGCCCCATGCGACGTAACCGTGCAACACTGTAGCAATCCCTGCACTCCTCCAATCCCCACTCAACCCTGCACCGACGATGTCACCTCGGTTGGTGATGAAACGTTTTCAATCCGGTGAACAGACCAACAACCAAACTGTAACAATTTCGAGTCCGCGAGTATCATCAACTCTGGGAGACTAGGTTTCTCGGTCACGTCAGACAGGACCCGGCGGTCTCGTCGTATTTTTGGGGTTTTGTGCTGGGGGCGGGGTGGTTTGTTAGCTTCTTCATAAACGTTCTTCGATGCCGGCAGTCACACTGCTCATTTCCTCTTTCTTTTGAGCAGTTAATGGAATTCCCGATCCATAGTATTTGGGGACATATAACGATTATGACTGTTTCTGCTAGGGCTCTGAAGAACTGTTTAATCTGTGCACTGTGTGTACCACTGTGTGTCCAACATTCGTCAGATATTTGTCGATACAGTCAAGAGTTATTGCTCGGAAAAAAAGAAATAAGATAATCCTTCAGGTGCCTAGCCGCCATGCCAACTAAAGGAAGTAGAGGACTGAGATGCTGTCACACCTTGACAACAGAGGCCGGGATTCGGGGGGTGGTTTCGAACTGCGAATCTTCCGGTCTTTAAGTTAGCGCCTTAACCATTAAGCTCTATCGAGCTCAAAAAGATAGCGTCACCAGCCTTGGCCAGGTTTCTGGGACGTGCGTTTAGGTTGCGTCGCACCTCCGGTTAATTTTGTGGCTCATGTTCCATAGTCCAGTTCGTCACGAATTTGAACAACGTAGCTATCCTTGCCACACTCCGAAATTCAGACTGGATGGCTTCGTCCCCCACCATGTAACCGGATGCAGGTCTTCACTCTTGAATAAAAGACCTTACTGTGAACCAGCAGCTTTCCGGATGGATCACAGAGTTCATCGTGCTCGCGTCAGGTTTCATCCAAAAGTTCATGAAATGGATCGCGATTGGTTGCTGAAGCTAAAAGTGGTGGTCTGAAACGGAGTGTGACAAGTATACGGTCAGGCTTACGACCCGCAGGTGGAGTCTACTCTCGTTTGCTGTAATTGTGAACGCTCGATCCTCTCCAGCGGTATAGCAGAAAAGTTGCAGATAGTTTGGCTGTGACGGCTATCAGATTGTGGGTAGTTCTAACATGCTTCCTGGACACTTCGTAGATACGAAAGACACTGCCAGAGTCTTCAGCTATTCCATGTTAAACGGATTTTGGACGTTTTTTTCTAAAGCGAATGATTGTTTTTCAGATTGTTTTGAGCAGGGGAACGCATTGGACTAGCACGTTCCAATAAGATGTGTGTATGAAGAACTCTTCAGCGGCACTTTTCACTGTAGCATATCAATCTTTTTGTTTTGCACTCAGGTCACAAGAAGTCGTTCAGAATCTGTGAGCTGATTCCCCCTTGCTGATCTAATATGTTCTGTAGTTGTTTCCGAGAAAAATAGATCAAACATTTGCAGGTCATCTTGTTCGACCCGCTGTTTTTATCTCTGTGTAAAATGTTTCTGGGTATGCATTTCTGTATTAGCCCCTAACCACTTGCTTGGCTCTCGCATGTGAGTGGTTAAACCTCGGTCCCGCATGAACTACATTGTTGAACATTACGATAGTGCTCTGTCTACTTCAGCGGTGTCATTTTTTGGTTTGGCCACAACGTTCTGTGTCACTCATTCAGTCGACGTCATTGGAACCCGCCATGCATCGCCGTTATGTTCGGCGATGTGTTATATACCCGTAGTTCTCTCTAATGTTTTGATGTGCCCTGCGTAATCAGTCCCATACACGTGCACTCCCTTCCTCTATCCAGCCTATGGAATACTCCGGGGATGTTCTGCTGGAAAATGTGTCTCCAATCGACACTTCTCCCACTGTTATCCTATTGCCAACGACTCAGTTCGTACGAGAGGAGTTGAATACTACACAGTCCGGGGAGTCTGAAATTCAGCAGCAGTTGTCTTCATCATTGCTCGATCAGTCTTTGGAGCAGCCGCGTTGTGAGATGTCAACATCGGTGGCTACCGTATGCATGTCGGAGATTGTGGGTGTGAATGATTTGCAGTCGGAGGAGGGTATCAATAAATCGGTGGTCTCTGTAAGTGCGCCGAGTTTTCTTAGTCGTTCACTTATTCCAGAGCATGTTGTAATCCGAATTCCTACGTCAATATCTGACTCTTGGCGATAAAAGTTTAGTCTTATCTTTATACGACCACCAGCGTTTCGGATAGCTATATTCACATTGCGCACAAATCGTCTGCGTTGAATAACATTGACATGAATTTGCGTAGGCATGGGTAACTTGGCAGTATCCCAGCCCGCGTGCTTACTTCGGATGGGCACGGGAGCTAGGCACCGAAGCCGTGCTACAGCTGAGCGACTTTTTATTTTATGTGCAGTCTCAGACGGTCAGTATCCTGGTTTTCGCACACTGCCCACCAGGTTCCACGAACGGTAAGTGGGGGAACAAGATTGGTTGCTCTTCGTCGGACCTGCTCAAAAATCGTCCAAATCAATATAGGTTTTGGCGTGCATTGTCGGTTTACATTTCCTTCTTTTAGTATGCTTCTGGGTAGTTCACTTTGCCCTGCTCAGCCCTTCGGGATCTTTTAGACCAGAACTATTCGATATTCATCGGGTTTTCCAGATGTTGCTCTGCGGCAGGTATGCTCGTTCATTTTATTTTTAGATCTTTGGACTTGTTGAGTTGGTCGTTAACGGACGCCCCGCGCTCCCATCTGCAAACTTCCTCCATTTTGTTTAGCCAAATCCACCAAGTGTTGCTTTTTATCCTGGGCTACATTCGTATGTTTCCGTCCGCTGCTTGAGAAATAGACCGCTAAAATTCAGTGGGCCAACTTCTTGTGAGCTTGCTTCAAGTAAGCGTTGATGAAACAGCCGAAGGAAATCAATGACCTAACCTGTACGATGTTAAATTTACAACAGGCCCGCCACTCATACATAGTGCTTTTCTGAGATCTGGTCCCAACAGTTCATCTGTTCATATAAACTTACCTAACTCCGACGTCGAAACAAGTAACAATATTTGGGCTATTATAAGCAAGGTTCCCCGTGGTTATCGCAGTATGCAGGCTCAGTCAGTGTAGCTCCTTCCACGACGAGTAAGTTTGCTGTTCTCAGTACAGGGCCGTAGTAATCCTCGTTATCGTTTCTGTGGATAGTAGCTGAAGAGCTCGTGTCATTCATGAAGATCACCAGTACCTTTGGCACCACCGAAGATCAGGCTTGTTTGAGGTGGCTTCCAACATAGAATAACGTGAGGTGTTGGTGTGATTTATTCGAATGCTCATCGTTGCATACAAACGTCGTTGATTTGTGGGAAATGTAGGTCGGTCGGCTTTGGAAATTCTCTATTGATGTGTCATTGCTTTACGTGCGTCCCGTTTGCTTGCCGGGCCTATGAAAAAGGAACAGGACACAACATCAGACCGTTGCCGATTTGACAAAGCTCGCTGTCAACTAAACAGCCACTTGCGTCGGTCAGTGTTTGTGACAGATAACTCATGAATCGCACATATAGTCGTGCCAACACATGGTGTCCTACTGCTATACAACCTGATTAGACGAAGAAGTCGACAGCTATTCCCTGCCACTTACGTTACTTCCATCTCAGCTCGCGGCTATCATCAGTTCTCCCTCGTAATCCACACACAGTAGGCGAGTCGAAAGGTCTTGCGACTTCCATGAGCCCAAACCAGCTTTGCCATATACCAAAGACGCAAAAAGACAATGGCTTAGTCTTATTATACGTAGTTATTCAATTAGGAATGATGGGATATGACGGAACCTTCCCAACCCCAGTTAACGGTGGCGTTGATCTCTGTCGACTACTGGCCTTTCGCACGCCATTGCTAAGCTGGCAGGTGTCGCTTCAGATGTGGAAAGTATGAAGTTGTTGAAGAAACCTTGATAAGTACATATTGTCAAGACACGTCCACTACTGTGTATTTCCAAACCAAGTGGACAGCTTCGTCTGAACTCTGGATATTCACACGTGTGTTGGTATCTAAAGACGGTACACTTCGAAGTATTTCTTTCGGGTAAGTGGAAAAAGTCATCGTTCGATATTCGGAAACTGCAGCACTTGAAAAAACGACAGTCTACGTTCAACTACCCCTGAGACTTTTCGCTCTCGACAACCATGCAATCTTGACCGCACAAAGTCCACTTGAGGAAGATGATGACTCAGTGACCCCCTCTTCTAGCACTGTCCGAAGCAGAACCCGAGTTTCGAATTAGTTTAAAATCCCGCAGTTTGCTTGACACTCAAAGAAACTGCTTTTGAGCTGTCTGGTGGTGCCGATTGGTAGTCATCGTAGAACGGTTTGCCATTTAATAGCGACTTTTGGGCGGAACTTAGTGGTTTTTTGGTCGGCTGAATGAGTAAAACCATGGTGCAGCAATCCCTTCGAACGTTACACGTGCCCTGCGAAAACCGTTTGCCTGGTTGGGATGTGTACTCTTTGGTGATCCGATCTTGGAAACCACCACTTCAATTACCTTGGCAACACTTCATCATTTTGTTGGGCCGGAACTTTCGATGAACAGTGTACACGTGCTCTTACTAGCTGTCTGGTATGTTTCACCGGTTGAGTAAACAAACCTAGGTAGTCAATTGCCTCCCTCTGTTTTAGCTGATTTATTACATCTCAGATATCGTTGGTTTTAGGTCTTTACCCAGAGCTTGCGCAAGTTGTGTGCGCTTATCACGGTCTATACCTGATCTGAAAAAATATGTACCACCGTGACCTAGGTGTGCCCGACCAGAATAGTGCTGTTCGCTCTGAACTGTTCCAGTTTTTGTTTAACCAGGTTTGCTACCACCGAAATGTTACAAATCTTGTACCATCCGGAGCGCAGCATAAACATCTTGATAAAAACCTAAGGAAGCGTGTGAGCAACTCAATCGTAGAATCGGGTGCCGTTAGCCGCGCCACCTTTCATCGCTAGGGATTTTCACCATTCTCATTAGGAACGCTCCTCTACCCTCCTTCAACGGCGTTGATTGCTTTACGTACTTCGAGGTGCTAATTTCTACCCAAGTTGCGTGAAATATAAGATTAGTCAGTCACCCCCGGGTGTATTACACAGGCAACAGAGCATGTCCTTTACTGTGGATACGTAAAATTAACGTATGGGAAGCTAAAGGTTTCAAGAGCTTGAAGTCATAGAAGTCCAGAAGCGGAAATTCCTGAGCAGGAGTGCAGGGTTAAACACAGCTTGGGAGGCATGGTTAGAGTCTTACAAACGGTTGATACGGTCAAAAGACTGAGGTACTTACTGTACTTCGCGTGTAAGAGTGTTCAGCCGATTGCTCGGTTGCCCTCTTGGTAGGCCGTGAGTACTAATTCTTGCGCTTTCATTACCGCGATTGTATCTCCTGCTTACAGTATTTATTAACAATAACGTACAGCTCCTCTTCTGAGCATATCTACTTCCATTTGTGTCACAGGTTTACTCTGCTTTCTCATCATTTTTTTAAATGTATAGGTGGTAATGGTATTCTCAGTTTCCATTCATGAAGTTACTTTATAGGTGGATGAACTCATTTGACCGAGCATGGCTTAGGCAGGTTGTTCGTTTGTGAAAATCCCGATGGAAATTTTCTCACGCTACACAAACGGGAACAGTGCTTGATTTATCCACTGGCTAGCACGTTGCTTGTGTACATATTGTTATCAAATTCAATATATGTGTTGTGTTTTATATGTTGCATTCAAATTATTTCAGCTATTGCTCCTCTATCTATGTCGGTTTGTTTGTTCTGCCACGCACTATTTTCACACAACTTCTCTATTTCTCTGACTTAGCCACCAGCAACCGTTGCAACATCACCAGCTCACGAATCTCCTCGTTTACCGATGACTGTACCTGGACCCAAGAAAATTAGCCGTTTGGTCACATCACACAGTCTTCGAGCGCAGGTAGAAGGTCCTACTCGACACTTGCCAATGATGCATCCTGCTACTGGTTCACTCCAATATCTCACGCCCGCCAATGGGGAGGTGGATAGCCCATCAACTGGAAAGGTGGATATCGTCAACACTGTCGTACATGCAGCGATTTCACTGACAGCTCGGTCCTCCGGTGACTTCTCGCATCTGTCATCAACACCTCTGCCGATTACAGAGAGCTGTATCATCTCCAGTACACCACATGACTGGAACTCGGTGGTGGAACTGCGCCAACCTGATAATAATGGAGTTCCGCGAACGAAAGTGCCAGCGGTTCGCATACCATCATCCAAGGGCCGGATAAAATCTATTATCGATGCTCCCGGATCTCGATTGTCAATGGTTGAGCTGACACGTGCTGATGAGCGTCCCTTGTATTCTAGCTCGTCAGGCATCCCGCCAACACCGCAAGTGAATGTGAGTGAACTAGTGTCTCATTTACTGTTTCATGTTAGCTATGCAATGTTCTTCTTGTTAGTCCACCATTTCTACCATAGAAAGTCATGACGAACCAACCCACTCATACTCTGATAACTGCGAACCATGTACCGATCGCAGCGTAGCCGCAAGTGCTTGCTGACCAAGTGGTTCTTCTTGTTAGTCCACCATTTCTACCATAGAAAGTCCTGACGAACCAACCCACTCATACTCTGATAACTGCGAACCATTTACCGATCGCAGCGTAGCCGCAAGTGCTTGCTGGACCAAGTGGTTAGAGAGCGAATTTACTGACCGGAAGGTCTATAGTTCAAACCCGACCTCTGCCTCTCGACTTCTCTTGTCTAGGCTTGGGCAACCTGACAGTATCCCAGGCCTTGTGCAACCTTCAGTTGACGGGAAGCAGACCATTTGACCTAGTTAGGGGATAATCTTCTCGGTGATGCCAATCGACAATTTTCAGCTTCAACCTTGAGCAGCATACCAAGCCTTCATCAGAGCAATGTTTTCTGTCAGTATGCATTCCATTCTTTTGAGAAACTTCTCTAAATGAATGAATCCGATTCGCCTTGTAATGAACTTCCCAATCATGAAAATGGTACGAAAGACGTGTCATCTGACTTGTCTTTGTCTAGCTAAGTGACACTTGTCTTTTTTCGCTTCACCTGGTCATAATCGTATAGTGACTCACTGTTTCTGCACTGTTTACATTCTGAGACGTCCGGTTGCGTTTCCTGAGATGCTTCGACAAAATCATCAAGACGGTCAACTAAGCATCTTGGAATATCCCAGTAGCAATCGAAATCTGGATGGACATGTCTATCGATGTCAAACTCGAGTCGTGTAGATATGGATCAATATTACTGAACGACAGTTCTGTACGGCGCAGCAGTTCATTTCCGACTGGAGAACACAGTCGGAAGCTTCACTTCACACTAAATTGAGGCCCGGCATAAACTTGTCGGATGCGCTCTCCACAGGAGAATTACGCCCTCAAATAGGTGGGCTCGTACCTTAGCATGAACAATTTACAGAGGAACAAACTCAGACGACGTGAACTTGGAGGATATGTACAAATTGCCTGTCTAGCAAAGTCCAATGGATTGTCCTAGGAAGTGGCAGGGGTTGCGGAAAAAAAACTATTTGTTCCCTCGAACCATGCTTCTACTCTGTTTCCAGATTATTCGCTACTTTTTTGATGTGCTAACAGATCGAACCATAATTTTGGTCATCGTATTCGTCCGTTGACTGGAACTGGAAGTCACACAAGGGGAGAATGATGGCTCAGCTGGTAGAAGATCTTGGTAAAGGCAAGTTTGTGGAGTGCATATTGCGTATGCTAGACCGATCCAGTTTGATAGAGTTACTCGATCTTCGGAGAATCATCATCACCATCATCGACAGCATGACACCAGTGTTCAACACTGATGCTTCACTGCCGTACGACGTGGGTTCATGGTTGTACGTGGGCTGGGATACTGCCAGGGCGCCCACACCTAGACTGGAGGACGATTAGGGTCCTCAACCAAAGCCTTTGGCTCAAAAGCCTAACCGCAAGGCAGCGGTGTTTGGCAGGAAATGCAAATACATTACCATTTCTACGGAACAAGTCGCCATATGTTCCAACCCCCAACTTGGAGGGCCAGGAGACTGTGTTCTTCAGACCTCTAACCATTGACCAACCTGGTATGAGAGACTGTGAGTGTCGCGGGACACTCTCTAGTATGGCTCAATGGATCGCTGAGGTGCGCAAACCATCACACCACGCTAAGGTCCAGTCTCTTTGTGACGGTCTTCGGAGAATAGACAGCCTCGTTTATTGTAAGACTCAAATTATACCCAAGCCAATGTGTTTGGGATTTTTCCCTTCACTGCAAACCTATAGTATCAATATCCGTTCTACTCGAACTGGACTGGGTTTCTCAAATATTGTAGCACCCCATTGGTTTTATGTATTTCAGATGGGTGCTTGCTTCTCCTTGGTGTTTGAGGGATGTCCACTCAAAATCAATTCCACCGCCACATGGGTGAACCCGGTCAATAATGGTGAGTAAAGCACTCCCAACACTTGATAATGTATTGAATCCACAGCCAGTTTCCTAACGCGAACCTATTTTGTAGGTCAAATTCTTCTGTTCGGCACGAACGATGGAATATACTATCTCAGTTTGAAAGACTTGGCGGACAGCTCACTGGAATTGGTAAGCGTTTATGTTCAATAGACCTTTTCGCCTCTGCGTGGTTTTTGCCGTGGTGCTGGCGAATCTGTGAGTGGAGAGTGCACTGGAACATAGCTATCAGCTTAACTACCATTTTGTCACTGTTTTATTGACCGAAATACATCCAAATCGTCAATAGATGAGGTGAATCTGAGCGAATTCACTGGATAAATAATCGTGAACGAACTCAAACCGACTAGGGGGGAGTTAAGTGACTCATCCGGCCTGTTACCTATGCTGAGTAGGATGACACGACCTCTAATAGTCACTCGTCCGCCACCATCTCACCAATTCCCGTTGAACAAATTGTGGGAACACCCATGTCTTTGGTACATGGTTCGTGGCTAACCAACTAGTTGAAACCGACCTTTAGCAAGTATGCAACGTTATTGACCACGCTGCTTGGTATATCAGTTTGTGAATGAGTCCTGTACTCGATTTCAACAGCGTTGCTTTTTCTACAGATATTACTCCTATGTTTGCTCGGTCAACACAGTAGACAGCTGGTCGGATGAAGGCTGTCACCATTCAACTTTAATATTCGCTCCAACCATGACATAGCCTTTGAATGACCCATGTTTTCTCCCAATGGTACACTAACGTATGTTAGCTGGGTGTTTAGCAGCTGTCTGGTATTTACTTTATTTTGTTTTCCCACATACCGTTCGCAATCTCTTACGTCAGTTCTTTTGGCTCAACTCATTCTTTTTTAATCAGTCCATTGTTTTACTCCCGTGTGTTTGTTTCCCAAGATTGATCGGCTGTAGTTACTTCACGAGAATCGATCTCTGACTGTGGGTTGTTGTGAACACTGTTCATAAAGCGATTGATCAACTGAGCTAATGATATCCATTGTTTGCTAGTGATGCAATAAATCGAGTGTCAGACAGACAATTGGTCTTATGTGTGTGTGTTGCAAGGTGTGTATTCCTATTCCGTCACGGGCGAAGCAGTCAACCATTCCGCCTTAACCGGGTTAATCAGCATGTCGGTACCGTAGAGAATATTGCAGACCCCAATGTAATAGTCCCAGTGAAACGAGTATTGTTTTGTATACAATGGATAGCTTTACAGCATATCCTTTGGTGTTTTTTGCCTGAAAACTCACCCAACATCAAATACATCCCGATAGGACCTACAAGTTTAGCAACCCCCAGTTTCCGCATTTCGAATGATGCTGTTCTGTGGACTATACAACCCGAAAACTTCCTCGAAGATTCTTACTGAAGGTATTTAATAGTCTTGTGATTTTGAAGTAGTTAGAGCCTCTAAATTTCCTAGCTCGTCGACTGCACGCTTTAAACTTATGACTAATTTGTGTATGTTTATCATAGTAATAAGCGATTATTCAATGCAAACTACAGTCGGAGCTGTAGTGAAGCAATTTCTGATGCAATGATCTGAATCCTGACTGAATCCTTTACACTAGGAACTCCAATTATACGTTATTCAATGGCAACGGAGACATTGCATTTTCCGTTCCGTTTTTCGGTCCACTTGAATTGTCACTATTTTTCACACGAATTTGCGTGGGGTCACCCAACATTGTTTTACGTAGGCCCATAGTTTCTGGCATCCTACCAACCGAAAAGTAACAGTGCACTTTGAATCTTCTCTGGATTCTTCATTAATCCGTCCAATTTATAATTATCAACCCCGGATTCACAGTGAAATCCATCGGTTTTTCACTAAGGATTTTCATTGCAGTTTAGGCTCGCGCTCGGCTGATCACAGAGGAAGGTTGGCAGCTCACCTATGGACTACTTGAATCGAGTCGACTGTCAGTGAGATTAAACCCCAAAGGCTTCTTTATAAAAATTCCATCCGATAATGATGTCCACTCTCTCCATTCATGTTCAACTTCTTCATTGATGGAATAATAAGGCGATCGCTGGAAGATATTCAAGCCCTGGTGAGAGCATTTCCGATCTGGAATACACAGACGGCATCACCCTCATCTTTGAAGACCAAAGCGAAACAAGCCGCGTTGAATAGATGGAATACCATCATAGCATCTTTTGGTATTGGACTTGTACCTTCAAAGTGCAAAGTCATGCTTCAGAACATGCACTCTGTACATATCCCTTACAATTCAAGGAGAATCACTGGAGATTGTGGAAAACTCTACATACCTCGATAGTTGTGTTAGCTCTGAGGAAGTGTGTCTGATGAAGTCAGTGCAAGAATCTCAAAGGCTCGAATCACGTTTGCTAAATTGCGTCACTTGTGGCGTCAGAAAGGCATCTCACTGGATCTTAAGGGTCGTGTGTACCAGGCTACAGTAAGGGCTGTGTCGTTGTATGGGTGCGAGACGACCTCTGCCGGTAGATGATGTGAAACGCATCGCCCACACCCAGCTTATAAAGTCTACACATATTGTATATCCCCTTCTCTTACATCCACTCTTTGGCAAACCAAATTTTGACAAATAGTATCGTCGTACAAAGTTTCCTAGTGACCTGGTAGGATGAAGTGAACCAGTACCAATTCCCGTTTTAATTTCAAGCTGTCCTTACTCGATGTCGTTTGTTCGGTGGGTACATTCTGCTTTCTCTTAAGTGCTGATTGTACCGCTGCAGGTGTGCAAACACAACCTCACTAAGAAACTCTGTGCACGCTATGTTGGCTTTCTTGTTGTAGAAGTGCCATGTGACTTCGGTATGCTCACTGATATTTGGCGGATAGATCCAAGCTTTGTGGTAACTGCTTTCCTCATCTTAATTATACTGGTTTAGGTTTTTGCTTTTCTTCTCTATCACGCCACACATTTCACAGTGGAGAAGTGAACAACTTTTGCTGTGGGTCAGTTCGTGAAATTCCTCCTTCCATATGCATATGACTGACTTTCGTTGGTTTGAATTGTGCTGGTCACAAGGAAGACTGGTTTTGATTTGTCAGATGTGGTTTGCACTTCTCAGTTGGTCATGATTCGAATCCCATGGTACAGCACGGTTAAGTGGTTTCAGTTTCATGTACTCCAGATCACCTTTTCTTCACTGAACTGTCCAATTAGGTGATAGTTGTATAACTTTCCAGTCACCATATCACCGACGTAGTTAATGATCCATCCACTATAGTGCGCGCAGTGTAGATACGGCCAGCAACTGGTAATCTGATGGAATTTTGGTAGCTTGAGTGCATTCATTGTTAGTCGATCAGGTGGGTGTTGATAGTTGTTTGTTGTTGTTTTGTTGGGTTCCTACTAGAATAGAGCAAAAATGTTGAAGGAATAAAGTCTGGGGATGACCGCGAAAAGCTTCATGTAGTCAGATAATAAATGAATTGGTTTCAATATGAGCGTAAGGCACATACAACCACCTTTTCAATCCACCGCTCGCCTGAAATACTCAAGAATGAAGAAGCTTCCGTGTTTGAACGAGATCCACATCCATCAGAAACTAGAATGGGTAGAAAAGCATATTAATTGAAAAAGACAACTGGAGATACGGGGTAGTCGGTGGTGGGGAAAACTTCAATTCACACGGTCCATATAGCTCAGCATGCTTGCAGTGTAACCCCAGGCATATTCGATCATAGCGACGCATACCAACTATCCCGTCATCTTCAATTTCGGCAGCTCACACGACGAGTCCGTCAGACCGGTTCTCACAAATTCGTAGCCGTTGTGCTGCTCTCTCGTCATTCCGTCGAATCAGGACGAGGTAATTGTGGAGTTCACGGGGCAGCGGAAAATATTAGGTGGTGGCTTTCCTGCAAATTCGACACATTGTTTATCAGGATCACCTATTTCAATTGTCGCGGAGAGAAGACGTTTGGTTTCTCCGACGTAGTACACAGCTCTGTGTCGTGCTTTATCGGCCCTAACAACTCTTCACAACCACGTACCGTGTCGTGTTCACACAATTGTAAAGTTTCATATGCATCCAGCAACACATTCCATCCATTTATTGTAAGTCAGGATCATACCATTTCACTATTTCCACATATCTTCACATCAAAAGCAGCTCGACTTCGGTTCGTGTTGATTTTCCGTACCTAGATGTGGTTTATTGGCCATACAGAGGCAGTTTTTGTATACACATGAATATCCTCATTTTCGAAAAGGTTGGTTGTCATCCGTTTTACGTCATTCCACTGGACGTTTCATGGCTGGTTCTGTTCACCTGCTGCCTACTTTTGATTTTTTCTATTCTCTATTTACGTGTGATACTGGAGCTCTATGGTATTCCCGTGAGCTCCCTCCCGTTTAACACTTTGTTCATATGAGCCTGTCGCTTTTTCGACGGAGAACTTATTAAAGACACAGACTACTCTTATGCAAACAAACCATGATGGTGCTGCCCTTTATTCGTCAGTGTATGACTGTCTGCGTCTGATAATCCCAAAAAGTATACGCATTCCTCTTCTTAGCTGACCCCCTTGGAGCTGTTGTCGAGTGACTTGACAATAGCCATACCGATATAGTCGTAGGGTTTTTCGATCTATTTGCACCCGTGACATCTACTTTCGTTAGGAAGTCGAATTGTCACGCCTATGGAGGTGCAAATAGTATCAACACGCTCACTCAGTCAGCTCTCCCATTCGACGGCTGTCAGTTAATGGTAACAAACTGTCAGTGGATCTGATTCTCTGCCACTATCAATCACAGCTCAGTTACCACGGTGAGGGTTTCACACTGGTCGTCGAGGATCGCGATACAATTTTAGTTTGCATTCATGCGATGGAGTGTGTTAATTATGTCCATGGTTGATTTCGTATCGATTATTTTTGTCTGACGGACACTGGAATAGGCAGTCGGTTATCATCGTTGTCTCCGCGTCAGTAGATCTGAATGTGATCGAAAAAGCCACAAAACTCATACCAGTTTTCTGCATTAGCTTTCGAAATAAGTTTCGGATGGAATATCCAGCAGTGCAGGTGACAGGAAACCTTGACTTTGATATTGTCGCCGAAAATCAGGTTTTATTGGGCTAGTCATTGAATAGTCAGTGTGTGGCGTCCACAATGAATGAGACGTACATACCATCCGGGTACCTAATAGGCATTCGCCTGAATTCAGGCACGGAGTCCGTGGTTTGAAAATTGAATAGAAGGTAAAGTACATCCGAGCACTAAATACGGACGAACGGGTGGGAGTTGACTGACATATTTCCCTCAGTTCGGCGCAGGTGCTTTATCTGCACCAGGAGGAGTTTCACCATGTCAAGTTGGGTTGGAAGCAAATAGCAGTGCCAGAGAAGCGATTCGAATGACCCATGATTACGTGGAAACTGTGATTGTTGTGGGATGTACTAAACCTCCTCTCCGGAGATCGGTGACTGCGTAAAGACCAACCGTGAGCTGTTTATATATGTCTGTATGTATGTTCACCCGTGTTGCACAAATACTGCAGTACGTCTTCAAGTTTCAAGTCCATATCGGTGTGAGGTGCAGTGGTTTGGCTTGATATCTGTCATTTGTGCTCTGGATAGTGCTGAAAATTCTCTGTAGCTGCTCAGTATCAGATCTTAGTGAGTTAGCACCATGGTTAACGTATATGGCTAGCATCTTTTCTCTCTTTTCTGAGCTGTCAATTATGCCTGAAAATGGCTCTGTTGTTCAGTATATCATCTCTGGACATTTGCCCGCTCAGTTAATTTAGACGGACAAATTTTCCTAAATAAGCTTCAACTGTCTAATCGCTTCCCACCTTTCGGTTAACTTGCTGGTTATTTTCCCTTCAGCTTTGGAAACAAAAGATATGAGTATATACCTCCTCTCCCCTCCTGTCAACTCGTGAAGTATCTAGGCGTTCAACGTTCCTGATGAACACGGGTTGGTGGCGTTGGGTTCGTCCACTCCGACAGCTGTCTCTTGAGACTAAATGCACTCGAGCTACTACTTGCAATTATTTTAGAATCTGCTTTATGAATAAACTCAAAGCCGGAAACATTTTTTCTCATAGTTCGTTACTGGTGTGCCGTTTTTTCCAATGTTCCAGCTTTTCCCGCGAAGATGCCTTTGGTTGTCGGTCGTCAGAGACACCATGATGTCCTTATCAGGTCGCCATCCTCAGCTATATTGTCATAATTTGGTTTCTTTGATGAAGCTGAAATCCCAGGGTCATGTGATGAGTGGAAACCCGTCAAAATTGGGGAAACTGACCAAATTATTTCCAAAGTACGTTTACTATTTGAAAAAATTGCTGCTCGATTTTAGCTTTTGAACGCTGTGTTATCCGCCTCTTTATCCTGTTTCATTTTCTGCCAAATGGTGATTCGTGGTTTTGGAATCATGTCGGCAGAATTTTCAACTATATGTTTGTTGTTTCTCATCGCTTTCACCATGCGCACTTGTATTTTCGTCTGACGGTCCGTGAGGTCCGTGAATCCAGCCACACATTTCCTCTTTTGAGAAAACTATTTTCCTATGATTCCCCTAAGCTTTCAGAAGTTGGTTTCATCTGGACTAGAATAGACTGGCTGATTCCTTTTCTAGCGGAGGGAGCCGACTGGCAGTAAATGGGCTTCATCGTTTACCGGATGATCTGGTGTTAAGCCATCGGGCAAAACCATTATGTGTTCACGTGCATCCCTCCACTTGTAATGTGTCTTGTAATCTGTTAAACGAGAAAACTACTCGTAGTTTCGCTTAAAACGAAACAAGAGTTTCAACTAGGTTCAGTTAATTCTCTCGTTCAAATCGAAATAATGTGCGGACGAGTGTATTTTTCGCGTTGGATTCTATTTCTTATATGTTGATTGGCCCGTCATGAACAGTCCCAGAGGAACCTCTTGATATTCCGATCGTCCGCATCATGAGTAAGCGTTTTTCCTATTTCCCACATAAATGTGCTTTCCATGTAACTTCGTGTAAGTACGGACGCGCGTTTGACGGCACTTCTCCAGTTTGCTTTGATGGCCTTATGTATCTTCGGTATTGGTAATAATACTGTTAGTTTACCGTTGTGAGTCTAGACCAAAACAAGCCAGAACCCAGAACATTTCTGCGTTTTGAAACATCCTTGGGTCTCGATGATGTTTGATGGTCAACAATTCAACATACCAAATAAGCTTGCGGAACCTAGATGACGAAGTCTCCCTGGAAAATTCCGCGTCACATTTCTTCCTGCATTTCGATCAAGTAGACAGAAGTTTCATTTTACGACAGTTCTCAGGGTCGTGGGATTGACGGACAGATGGCATAATGATGACCTTTCCCAGTGAGAGCCTGCAAGGGAAGGCAACGTTACAGGAGGCTTCAGTTTTTCAGGTGATGTGGTAGTTACTATGGTGTCTGGGGTCCTTCCGTATTTCTGGACAGCGAACGCTTGCCACACTCCTCCAGACAGCAATTTCATGATCACTTGTCATTACACCCTTGTGTTTGGTCTTCGGCACAACACACACGCCAACCGACCGACCGACTAATATCGACCGTGTCGTTCGCCGACAGTCAACATTCTGCTGCACACCTGAGTGTTTGCTGTGTCTCGTTTCTTCTCTGCCCTCGGTGCGTTTCTAGGCCCAGTTGCGCTTGCAATAAAGTATTGTTTGTTTGATTTTAGGCGGTTCTCCCCGTCCAAAAAAGTTCCGGACACGAAGGGCTGTCGACGAGTGAGTGTAACACGTAGTCCATTCAACGGAGCGAAATACCTGTGTGCAGCGATTGGCAGCGAGATTCTGGTGATGGAGTGGTTCAATCCCGTTTCTTCCTTCATCGAGATTAAACGGGTAAGTTCCTGGTTATCCGAATCACTCGCCTTTTCCCCTCTTACTCCTTTTCCAATAACCGCGTCATCATACCTGTTAGTGGAAGTTCATATTTTGGACCAGAGCTAGATTCTCAGATTTGACATCCGGCGAATGAAATCAACATATGCTAAAAGCCCGAAAAACGCGCTGGATCTGTTTCGTTTTCCAACCCGCTGATTTTCCGCAGACAAATTTTGTTTGCACAGCAAAATCCAGATGAGGATTTATCGATTCACGTGATTGACAGAAATCCCGATAGGAAGTCAGGTTTCGTGTTTGAGAACTGATACACCGTAATTCGAATCATCGGTGTACTAGCCGTTTTATATTGTTTTGACAGTTATCCCTATTCGTTTGCGAATCATTCCGTTAGCTTAACTGGGCGGTTAGATTTGGTTCGATTTATCGTGCAGATTGGAAAAACACTACAGCTGTCCATGCTTTTTGGGAATCCCCTGTGTTGGATTCTGGCTGGATTCGAAAGCAGCGCCTGTAGAAGTGAACCTGAACGTCCCTGTTGAATCCTGGATGCTTGCTTAGCAGCTTGTGATGGTAAGATGCGAGTGAAGGTTTGGTGAAATTCTCATAGTTGATTGCTGTCGAGCGGCTGACTGTGACTTATCGTTCCGTGACCGCGTTTTGTGATCGCTTGAACTACTGTGGGTCTATTTTCTCCATATTCTGTGTGGTTAAACAAACAGCATAAGTAACAGTTTTGGGCACCTGATTTATTTGCTGTAGATACTGAGCAACCTATAAAGCCACTTTCAGTGTCCCGTCTTTTGATTTATTGTTCCAGATATTCATTCAGTTCGGCTAACGACATATAAGCTCCGTCAGCAGATCATTTAGAGAACTATTTCGAGGCAATTTTATCTGTTAAATTGACCTATTCTACTGAATGCTACCACACATCACAGACCCAACATCTGGTAGCGTGAGATCAATTTACAAGATTAGCTGTCTTTCAGCTCTGCTGCCTGCATGTTATATTAATCATCTGGAAGATTCACTTTTTTGTAAGCTGTCGTTGTGGATGTGGCCTATGGCTTTCTGGATATGATTCGTCTGTAGAGGGGGTTTAATAGCATGTTTTATTTTTGGATCATTTTTCTTATAATATGCTTCCAATCTTGGTAATGTTTTGGAATATGCTTCCAATCTGTAGATATTCGTTCCGGATATGCCTTCACCCCTATTGACGTTCGATCTACTGATCATGAAAGATCGTCCGCTGCCTCTGGTTTGCCTGGGTGTCTATCGGCATCATTCCCGTCAAGGCCGCGAAAACAAACGGTACCGTCTACAGTTGGTGGATCTGAATTTGAACGAACATCCCGCGTCTCCAACTACAGTGGCCGATTCATCGCGCCGTTACAGAGCTTCCCTAAGTTGCTCTCAGCCTACTCCTTTGATGGAGTCTTCTCAGACCGCCATAGTTGGCTCTCCAGCTCTCTCTGCAGAGGACAACCGCAAACCTGATCATCGGGCAGAGTACCAACGACGGAATGCCCTATTTTTACGTGAGTTTCCTATTTATATTGTACCATCTCTTGTTCGGGGATCATATTCACTTCCGATTTTGCATAATGAATGAGCTGGAGTGGATGGATCAACCTGCTCACCGTTTTTCCTATGCCGTCCGGTCACCGTATCTCATCGACCTCGGAGGTGATCGTTTTTCTACTGTACTTTGAAGCCGTACGAAAGCTTGGAACGCTCGTATCTCAGTGTGTTTTTATTGGCCTTCTTGTGACTATGTCCATCTACAGCAAAGTTCCTACCAGAATCACATTCCGTCAAGGTGGCTATTTCGTAGGAACCTGCCACAGCCGTATGAGAGCAAAAGTGCACCGTTCTCTGGCTCGTCATCTCAATTAATAATCTGTTTTGGTAAACCCGTTCGACGGATTGGGTCTTAAGGACGGCTGGTTGTAGTGCACCTGAGCGTTCCATCATAACTCTCCCCATCACAGACAACGGGAAAGGTGCGAACCAATGCAACCGATCACCAGTTTCAAGTACCACCGTTTGATTATGTTTACGTCTTACTCGGACTCCAAGCATTCTTGCTACTTGTTGGTAGTGTAAGGATATTGTGGGCTTGTAATTGACACTTTGTTCTATAAATCAAACCAAAACGCCGAGAACCACTATACAGCTGTTCCATCCTTATTGAGATCCATAAGCAATGACCATTTCACGATACACAGAGTTCAGACTTTTAGCTGGGGGTCGCATCTTTGAGAATTCCTGAAATTTCAGCATAAATTGGCCCCACTTACAGGACGAATAATGAAATATAATCCTTCAGCTGTCGCACCCTTTCGGTGCCTAGCTGCCATGCCACCAGAAGGAAGCAATTACAGGACGAAATTCCCATTACACTACTTCCTGCTTACTTGAATAGCGCTCTAGTTATTTCATCCCTGAACCTATATTTTAAGGAGCCGATGCAATGCGAGACAGGCTGCATTTCTGTTGCGTCTTTCTTCAGGACGACAATATCCCCGGCCTATTCAGGGCCCGCAATCAATTGAGCATTGGATGTGAGCATCCGATATTTTTGAGCCCATCGCAAAATTGAAAATTGTAGGCGATACTGGGCAGCTTTACCGAACGCCAGAGTGTAAAGCGAATGCCGTCATCTCTCGGATGCGGACTTTTGTGCTTTTGTAGTGGGCTCTGATGAGACTCAGTAGATTGTCTGGCACATCGTCGTCTTTCAAGGCACACCAAAAAAGCCTATTGAGCGAGCTTTGGTTGGTTTCTGGAACTTATAATCATATTCTAAAACGATACATCGCTTGTGTGTTTGATTAATGCAACCTCTCGGTGAATGTAAGCCTCAAATTCATCGTGATTTGACATCCTCTCGCTCTTCCTGGGCGATGCAGAAATAGTACGAGAAAGAGTTAGTCTACGATACGTATCAGACTGATAGCCGGAAGTCCTCTCATGCCGTCCCGTTAACTTGTGGCTATCAGTGGTAGTACTCGGGGAACACTTCAGCATCTCTTAGAGAGCAGGCCTGAGAACAGACTTTATAGGTTTCCGCCGATTTACCACTTTTAACTGGAGGTTTCTCGTTTTCTAGCGCCCGCGAATGCATATTTCCTAAGGGCGTGACAATCGATGGTGCACAGCATGGCGTTTGTGTGGTTCATGGCTGGTAGTTAAAGGGGCTGAACTGCTTCATCCACATCCGTTATTAGTTAACAAGGAGTGGTGATATCTGCTGACCACATCCGAAGTCCGATGGACCGTATGGAAGAGCTGCGAATAATCATCAGCACTTGCTGTCCTCTTTATGCTGAAATCCATTGTTAACCGACCGTCCATTCTACCTTTGAGCACTGAGCTGGTGGCTTGGTAACGTCTGGTATACGTGCTTGCGCAGCTAGTAGGGAGAGAGATATGTAGTTCTTTCGGAGATCTAGTTTTCGTGGCTTCCCGACGCACTGTAGAGTTTCGAGTCACCATTTGGGCTGCAATGGATGAGCCACTGAGAAAACCCCATCTCTGGGACCTTGATCCTTCATGACCAGAGACCTTTATCCTTGTCTCAAAAAGCCAAGCAATGTCAGTCTAATGGTCAAAGATACTTCGCGTGATGAGTCTCTAACTTCCAATATCAAGGATAGTATGGACATTCTTGCATTTTGTATACAGTGCATTCCTAATTTTGAGGGAAGAATTAAAATAGACCCAGCTTGCATATTTACGGTGATGGCTGAGCCACCTTCTGGAGAATACGTCGCAGCATTGTATTATGGAGGTAGTCATGGAAAAACATACAAACTTGTGTGCATGAGACGTCCTCAGCGTCATATAGCCCTTTTCAAGGCGCAGTTCCAGCATTCTGGTAGCAAACTACAGACTGCAATGCATCGGGAAGGATATGGAGCAGAACCATCGGAACGGCCGCTGGATGGCGGCCAATGTTCTGTCCGTCAGTTCTGGCGTTTGATGAAGTTTACTTCTTAGCCGTTTCACATCCAGTTGCGGTTCTCTAGGCAGCAAGCTTCCATGATTGCCGGGGACTCACACACTTTGTGTTCTAATTCTATAGTACTAAGTGCTGAACAGGAATTCGTTTTCTTATGTTTTGTAAGACATCTTTATAGCTTTTTTTATCTTTAGCTGGATGACGCTCGCTATGCCCGGCCTCATCATTGGGTTTATGTGACATTTTGTAGGGGATCTCTGTGCAAACCGAAAATCCTACCTCATTAAAGTTAAATAAGTAGGCATCACTACCCTGTTTTGTCTGCAAAGTTCATTACATCCTATGGCTCATTAAATTTACTTGGCACTTGCTCTCATCTAAGTCCACCACAAAGCAGCGGATGGCGTCGATCTAACAGAACAGCGAACCTTAATTTCAGGACGCACGATAATTTCTTGCTTAGGGAGCTGCGGTGCCGTTGTAGCCTAATTGTTAGAAGACTCGTAATCATAAATAATCTGGTTTTTTTCGAACTGACGCAGACAGTATTCTCGAAATTGTACAAAAAATATGTCATCCACTGTATCATCGTCATTAGCAGCTGTAAGAACCGCTTACTTGTCGTATAGTGGTTGTAGTCGCCACAATTCGTCCATCGATCATTTGGGGAGATAGGGTAGATAGCTGCGCATTGGAGTCGGGAGCTGATAAACTGGTGCGCACGTACAGGTTTTTCAGTGAACTTTTAAGTGGGGGGTTGGGAAGCGAGCTATGCATTGAATGCAACAGCTTGAATACACGAGTGCCATTGAGGGAGCGATTGGATCGTAAGACAATGTCTCTAATCATTGATGTGGCCCGTCTCGAAGTCCACATCCAGGTAAGCGGCAGTGACCAGCGCAGATGAGTTTGCTAATAGGGTCAATGCCTCGTAGCTTGGGAACATTTGTGCGAGCCGTGTGTTCTGATTTCTCGTTGCCGTGTGTTGCGTCTCAGTTTAAGGCCGTCCGTTGGACAGTTGTTCTGATTAGTCGATCTGACACGCTATTACTGATTTTCCGAGGTTTTACTCATCAGTCGCCTTATGCTTCGTGCTGTTTTCATGGTCCTCTTGTTTTCCATAGCTTCTTTGCCCAACTTTTTAGACTACCTGAACTCTACCTGAGTATTCTTCCCGTTCTTCCTCTCAGCTTTTACTACTCAGATCGTTGTTGACCTTCAAACTCGCCTGCCGATTACATCATGTGATACACTTCCTTCAGATCTTATTTGTGGCCTATTCTTTTATAATTTGTAACACAGGTGGTGCGGAAATTCTTTGATCCAGCTCAGTTTCCTGGTAAATATCAAACACTAGTACGCCGCTGGCAGTGTGTCGGATACCGTGTACAACTAACCACGTTAAATCTGCTGCTGCTCAATCCATTATTTACTCGTTTCAGTTTCTTGACACTTGAAAATACTTTCATGCACACACAAAATTCACTCTTTCCCTATGTCACCATCGGCGTGAAGCGAAATTCATTGATTTGCTCCAAATTACGACGTTCTGTTTTTCTCCATCTCCCGTTTTCTGTCCCTACGATTCATGCGTCTTGTAGGCCAACCTAACACGTCAGTCAGGTCGTGATGGGTTGCCGCACCATCAATGTGTGTTCTGTATGGGTGCGCCAATTGTTGACCTGAATGTTATTTTGCACCGAGTTTACTAGATTGCCTCCCACTTATATCAGGTTATAGTAGGATGGCAGCAACGGAATCAATAAATATGGAAGTTTCCACCAGTTAACTTGCGACTGTCTTGTGAACGGAACTCCACTCCCGTTTATATCCACTGGCTGTTTATTGCGATAAACAACTGTTTCGCCTGTTGGTTTTCTCTTTGTCTTGTGTTCGCTGCGAGAACGTTTAGTTCCACGTTAGTTTCCTGCTGTTCAGTGTTATCAAGGTCCCTCCGATTGGTCGAAGGCCACCGGGCGAGATCGCTCAGTGATTAGAGCGCGAATTTACTGACGGGAAGGTCCGCGGTTCGAACCCGACCTCTGCTTCTCGAACTCCCCTGTGTAGGCTTAGGCAACTTGGCAGTATCCCATCCCTCGTGCTTCCTTCGGCTGGGATAGCAGTTAGGTACAAATAGGTTGCTACAGCTGAACTATTTTCCTCTATTTTTTTTTACCAGAATCTATCTCAATGTTCCTCGTTGCTATTCTCATGCACATGTACAAACCTTAAGAAGCCTGGAAAAGCGAACTGTTACCCCGGGCAGTCTAACTGTGTAAAGTTCATACTAAGATCCGTAAACGTTAATCTCTTGTACCTAACCCGGTTTTCATGTGCAGCTACTCATCGCTTGTCAAGATTTTGTTCACTTGGATCTCTTTGGGATACGTTAACGCGAAACTGCTGGTTCATTCGGATTGGCGCAACTTCCTTATATCTGTTTTACACGTTCAGTGTCAGTTCCCGGTAGTTAGCTCTCTGTGAATTCCTGTTCGTTCTCTTGCCTTTCTTCCTGGCTGGATACAGCCATCTAGCTTGATCAGCTGAATGAATGGTTTAGTGTTGCACTGGTTTTTCTCGTAAGCCCTAGTTGAGATAGAACGACTATTCACCCACCAGAAAGAAAACTTGCTTCAACAAGACTGGTAGCTACTTGTTTACACGATGACCAATGAAAACCAGTTTTTAGGCGCACTGTGTGTTACCTAAATGATTCATTAATTGGATCCGTTTTCATGAACAGGTTGTTCCCATCGTGGATATTCATATATTGTTCCACAACTAGCCCATACCACAAACAGCCACTTGTTAACCGTCAAACAATGACTTGGCAGCGAAGATGAAAGCCAATTACCAGCAAACTCAGCTGCGCTGGTCACTGCCGTCTTCCTGGATGGGGACCCCGAGAAGGNGCCCTATCAAAAAAAATTTTTTCTTTAAATTATAATTTTTTTCGCCCCCCCCCCCCCCCCCCGCTTGACAACCCACTGATAGTGCTGGATTTATGCACCAATTTACCAGCTCGCGCGTGCAATCCGCAACTACCTACCCCGCCCCCAATCATCGGTGAACGAAACTGTGGCAGCTACAACGAGTGTACGACGAGTACGCGGTTCTTACAGCTGACAATGATGATGATGAACGGTCATGTTGAGTTTTTATGGATCTTATACATAGTTTCCTGTTTAGCTGACACCGATTCCCTATTCAACGATCATACTAGCAGTTGACAGCTCGTCGTAGTACGTTTTCATTTCTCTTCTTTTCCTTGCCCTGTACACTCCCAGCCTTTTGCGTGGTTAGCCCCGCATGTCAATTTACCTTACCTACTGACCTATGGTGTCTGTTTATTCCTTGAAATGAGATTCAGTTTGCAATGACTTAAGAACCAGACTATGATTCCTCTCAACGTCATCAGTGCCCCCATCCAGTAGTAAGTCACTAACAGATATCTGAATAAGTTCCCCTTCACTTTGTCCTTTTGTGAGCTAACTCTTCAGTTCCGAAAGAATTGTTTTTCAGCATTCTTATTTCGCTTCAATGAAAGAGTCACGCCGGCATCACTTTTCCTTCTTGGGCAATTTCTGGTTGGATCCGTTCTAATATATTTTGTGTTGCTAATTCAGGATGGTGACATTGTCCAACGTCAGACCGGTGCCTTGTAGTTTATTGTATTCATCGTTCCACTGACAACCACTTACCTATCGTTTCTCCTGCTTTTACAGCGGAAGATAGCGTACCTGTCGTAGAGGTTGTTCAGCTGGAACACAATACAATTCTTGTTTGTCTTCAGGGTGAGTCAACAAACCTTTCGACACCCAGTTCTCCATCTGGACGCCAAAGTTTCATTTTTGTCTTGGTACACGCGCTTGGGAACGCGGTTCTCCAGTGACCATTTTCTTACTCTTCCAATTTTATAGATTGTGCCAAGGTAATCAGTCTGAACGGCCGAATCAAGTCCAGTCGTCATCGAGCTACCACCTTGGATTTCAATGGATCAGTAGCTGAATCCATCGGTATGTGCGATCCCATTTTGCTTATGGTTATTTCTCCCAGCCCCTTTCGGGTCGGTTGCCCGAAGCTTCGTTAGGGAACTAGAAAGATCCCTTTAAAGTCCGAACCTCAGAAGGAAACTGGGTGTTCTGACCTCCAAATTTTGACATCCTGTAGAATGAATGCTCTCAGTTGGTGATTTAATTTTCCCGCAGTACCGTAGGTGATAACTCATGGGAGCAATCGTCGGCAGGCCCGTTCTCGTTCGTTTGTTGATTGGTGTATTTTAACTGATCATTAGGCTGACATTTTGTTCCTTATCATCCAGACGCTCATTGCAGACAACACCGTCATTTGTGATTTGGTCGGCTGGTTATCTGGATGAATCACCGCTAAAGCATTTCAGGACAATATAAATTGTCATGACAACACTGCTTTGTCTTACCGTTGAATGCCTTTCTCATCCGCCTGGGGCTAAACGTTACTTGTAGATTCTAGCGTCCACTCAAATACTTGCATCCGCACCCCGTTTCCCCACTGTACCAAGCTACGGCAACCAGTCACATCTAGAAGGGGGCATCACGGATGACCTTGGTGGACGCACAGATGTCAGTATCACTTGGCACTACTAAATTGGAAATTTGTCAACTCAAAACGATGCCCGTTTGCATTGCGAATTCCTTCATTGTCAGTATTGTTAGTACTAGGACGTCCTTCTAAGCAGGACGATTACGCCGAGGATCCTGTTGATTTTACAGTCCTACTTTGTACCATGTAAGATTTCGTTGTCTTCTATTTTGTGTCTTCTGATACAAGTGGTTCTACATGCTACTTAGCTATATACCTGCCCGACAACGCTCGGCTATAATTTACTGCACAAGCTTGTCAGTGACATTTTCCTTGTTGCCTGCCTTTAGCTAGCGCAACGTACATTTTATGATTTCTCTATGTTGCAATTCGCAGCACTGAAGCGTCCCAAATGCCATTTTCGATTCGCACTCTTGTAGTGAATCGGCTGGTATCTGTTTCGTCTAGCCGATGTCGTCCGTAGTGAACCAAATGTCACTGAGAAGATGAATTATTATTATTTAGAAAAACACGAAATTTACGTCTGCGACCTCACAATACTCGTTTCCAGTCGTACCATTCTCTCATGTACTCTCATTCCCCTCTTTTCCCGTTTTAGTATGTCTTCGTGATAGCATCTTGATTTTCCACCCACATGGATTGTTGGGAAAGAGTTTTACCGGTGAGGTGAGTTTTTTTTAAAAAAAATCGTGTAGTATGCTGTGTCGGTATGCCGCTTTCGGTTTCACCCTCAATCCAATTGCACAAACCAATAGGTCTGTTAGTCAAGACCGAGATTAGTGTTTTGAAATTCTTGAGTGATTGGGCGGTAACATGTGAATTGAAGNCTGAGTTTTTTTTTAAAAAAAATCGTGTAGTATGCTGTGTCGGTATGCCGCTTTCGGTTTCACCCTCAATCCAATTGCACAAACCAATAGGTCTGTTAGTCAAGACCGAGATTAGTGTTTTGAAATTCTTGAGTGATTGGGCGGTAACATGTGAATTGAAGAGTTACCATCAAATGGAGCTGATTCAAATCCAACTAAACCCAAGTCAGAATCTGCCATCATCCTTTATTAGTACAGCTTCTAGACTCGTTGTTTCCTCACTCAAAATGCGGCTTTTATGAAGCAAGCTCCTGTGGTTGGACAAACACTCACGTTTTCACAACGGCTGTAATAATTTGGTATTGAGGAACTTCGGATTGTAACTAGCTCGAAACATTCACACTTTCTAGTTAACTTAATGACTTTAATTATTTGAACCTTTGGAGTTGCATTTTATGGGAGCAGGGAGAAATGTTATCACGTTAGTTTTGCTGCTGTTGATGGTAAAAATTACTCGAAATCACATGCTTCGATAAAACTATCATCTCTTGGCAGCATCCTTGCGTTCATCCAGAAACTATGCAACAGTCCTTCGAACCAACTTCAGCCGCTTCATGAAAGTGTTGCGAAGTCTATAGAATTTTTATCGACGTCACTCCTGTCTTTCTGCTCCGACGCGATTACTATCGTCAGCCTACATGAATGCGGAAAACACCAAATGTAGCGCATATCGGTGGCAGGGTTGAGTATCGGAATACGAACCTCTGGCGTATGTTAGCACTCCTCCACCAATGCACGCTGAACGAATCTGAATCACCTTGCGTAAATCACTGATGTGCTCGGTTAGCCCGTTTGTATCCTTAGCTCTATCCAACCGAAAGTCCCAACGGACAGTTAGCGGGTCGTCGTTTGACTCGCGTAACCACGGGTGAAATCATGTTCGACCATTCGGATCTGACCTTCCGGACTGGTCCACCGTGTTAGATTGGTGCGAGCATGTCTATCTCGCGTACCGACGATTGAAAGGTGAGCACGCCCTCAGCAAATGGAAAATGCACCCCACCTCTGTGGCAACGTCTTTAGGGAGATCATTGTATGCAACACCTGTTCAACTTGTGACTGATATCCCTCAAAATATCACCTTGGGGTGCTAGTCAGCAGTGTATATCATCCTACGGTTCCCGTTGTTTACTCTTACCTATTCGTTGTTCAAGTGTTCAGCAACAACACGGCTGAAAAGATTTGTTTTGACTGGAAACTTCTACAAGGTAAAGCAGCCATGCTTTGTGAGCCTCCCCTATTCGGATTGGTTGATATTTTGTAGCAGATCACTATGTAATAGAAGCTAACGGAAGCAACCTTGGTTTACTTCGGTTACCGGGCAGCCGCCCTAGTTGAACGTTCGAACAGTAACACAGACTTTGTTGAGTGGAGTTCGAAAAATGCCGTGAACGAATGAAGTTGCGTTTCGACTCAGTGGCCTGACAACTGTCAGGTCCCTCGTGAGGGTCAATGACCTACTCAGGATAAACAATCTGTCTCCGTCCACAGGGAATCTAGTTTCTTGATTGACTAACCTATTCACTTCACATCCGTCGTGGAGAACAGTAAGTGTTAATGATGATGACTGATCAAACTCCACACGCGAATAGTGTGGATAGCAATGAATACGGGTCATAGGGCTTAGTTCGTGGCTTCACACTTCAGTCCACGTGCTCACACCCTTTTAACTAAATTCTTTGCCCATATTTCTGATTTTTCCCTCAGTATAACTCGACCTAATTTATTTTTCCTCACACTTCCCTATACAGCTTACCCAGGAGATCAACGATGCGAAACACATCTATCGACTACTTGGTTGTGACCGGTAGGTTGCTTTTATCTAAAATTCATAAAGATATTTTGATTTGCTTTACCTAGGCTCGAACAGTTTGAGAGTGTCTGATCCTTCCGCTCCGTTTAGTGATGTTAAAAGTTCACTGCAAAGGTGCAACGGCTAAACGCCGTGGATTTTGAACAACCCTCATAATTTTTGGTATCTTTTTATAAGTCTACTATACCTTTTACCCGTAACACTTCACTTATGCAGATAGTAGCATCCTATACTATGCATCGTGATTCAACTAGTCTTTGTTACGAAAATTTAAGCTCCTACTGGAGTACTTGCACTCCCCTTGTTTTTATTTTTGTTTTATGATTGGTTTCATTTCGCGATCAATTTATCGTGAATCCGTCGCATTGTCATGGGTTGAACGGGGAGGTAGCACACATATTATACTGTGTCGTTTCGCCCTCAGTGCACACGCCACTAGTCGAATTCGCCACACTTTCCTCAATACGATAACAGTTCATTGTTTATACAAGCTTTCCAGTTCTGTTGTTGTTCCCTAGCCCTGATTTCCACATGTCACCATTTCGATTGCCCATCGGAAGTTGTTCAAGCCTGTGGTGTAACTTTAATGATCTTACCGGTCTTTTTGTCATAGCTTCTTCGTCATACCACAATTTTGTGAAAACGATCACAATACCGTATGTTAATTCCCGGTCCAATTTCCCAATCCATCTTTTTTCTGCAGCAATATTGTCGTGGAGAGCAGACCTGCTGATGATCCCATGTCTAATTCAAACGTCTATCTGCTAGCTGGTCACGCAGACAGTCGACATCAGTGAAGATGATACATGTACAGTTGATTGACCCGGGAACCGAATTGTCTTTCGTCGCTTCATCGTTGTGGGAAGATGTGCACACACTGGCACAGATTATCGATCTGGTTTAGTAGCCATTGTTTCAGCATTCCTTCGCACTGGAGTTGGTGACACTCCAGGCAGCACACATTACAACCATCGCCATCGATACAAATTGCGTTCCTCACAATAACATCAATATCCGCCAGGTCTAACTCCAGTACTGACCAAGCTTACCTCTTAGACTGCCTTTCCAGCGGCCCCAACTGGGGATATCTCGCCAACTACAGAATTATTGATTTCCCACCATCCAACGTCGTGCATTTTCGATGTACTCTCGTTTCCACAATGAACCGCTTTTCATAACCGAATTCACTCACTTTCGCTGCCGAAAACCGCTTTCTTGCTTGTTTATTTCCCGATGCTCGTCAGCCAGTCCATGTGATACGACAGGTCTAATTGCATTTTCCGTTGCGAACTCCTCTGTCATCTTTATGCTTAACCAACTTGCTTTCTTCGGAATTCGGAGTGAGTAGAATGAACATCCTGGCTTCTGACTGGCCCAGTGGTCTACTACGCGCTTTTGTTTGTTTTTTCTTTAGGGAACTAAAGGGATCTGTTATCGTTCCCTCACTGGCGCTTGTCCATAATCTTGCTGTGGTAGGCCCAATTAGCCATATTTTTCTATTTAGGTGAAACACTCATCGTGATGCTGCGAATATCAGCAGTACTAATATCATGTGTATTTTACTATAGTTGTTGCTCGTAATCGCAGCAGTTTATTTAGTTTTTGGAGTGGCGCCGACTGTACATGTCTCTTTGCCGCACCCCTGCCATTGCGACCCTTGACCACGTTTCCCCGAGGGTCTCATAGTTCCGTTCATTTTTTTCATCTGTAAAGGTATCACGCTTCTCTCCTATCCTTATTTTCTTTCCGTCTTTTTTGATTCTCCGTTACTTGAAATGTAGCCTTTTTGAAACTTGTGCAGAATCCAAGCTCCGCCATCTGTCTGCACCCCAAATTTTTCTTTTCGGTCAGTTATTTCCACCCCGCTGGAGTAACTTGATGCGATTGTTCATGTGCGTCTGTTGAGTTCCATATCACAAACAGGAGCACACAATCGTCAGTTTGGCGTGGTTCTGTTAACATCCTCCATAAAGTGTCATCGATTCCATCTTTGCACGTGATTCGCTTAACTTCAACCTCGCAGCTTATTACTTCAATAAGCTCAAGATTTTCTCGTGCCCATGTCTTTTACAGTCCATGAGTCCGCAAATCTTCACAGCGGTATTCATACCTCTCCCCTCGCACATAGACATACGAACAGACATGTTTACGGATTTTATGTCTTGGTGCTTTTTTATTTTTTCTCTTGACAGTTCCTAGTTGGCTTATCGCATTTTACGACTCTAATCATGCTCTTTTCATGATCTACTGATATATATTTCTTGACACTCTATCGTTGGTTCGCTATTTCGTGAAATATTGGGCACAACCATCAGGCTATGGCGAGTTCTGGACTACTTTGAGTGTGGTCAGATCGAAGTATGGTAAAACCCAACAGGTGGAGCGATTTTTTAAGCAGACTCTTGAAAGAGTTACCTCCACGGTAGTATGCCATTACCCCGATGAAAAGTTTTAACTACCATGTGGCTTCACTTCATCTCCCTCTCTCGAAGAATAGGGACAGTCCGATGTTCCAGGCACGGCGCACCTGCTTAACACCCTAAGTAAGCGGTGATAGTTCTTCCCTTGTCTTTGCCTGTTTGTGATCGCCTACTATTTACGGGCTGTTGAGTGAGCGTCACACTTACGTAAGGGTATTGCTAAGGCAGCTAGTATCTTCAGACTCATTTCTGTGTTTTTGGATGTATTCAAATAAGCTTATTTCGGTTGGACCGAATGTGAGGTCAGTGTTGCATTTACATAAAATGAATGAATGTGGAGATAGGTTTTCAACGCATAGGAGTTGCTGAAAGCGTGGGACAAAAAGACTCGCATCCGAATGTGAACTTGTAGCAGACCAGTCACAGGGGAGATAGTGGTATATTGGAGAGCTAAAATTCCAAAGATATAAATGGGAACGTTATCCAGCATGTAACAACATCCCGTGACAGTGCATCATAGAGGCAGAGTTAACAGTGTGGTAGATCAGGTAAGCGGAGACTGAACTATGGAATGTTAGAACATGAACAAACGGAGGCATCCTTCGCCTATTGTGCTTGGTTTCGATCCATGTTGCCGATCGCTTTATCTCTACCTGCCTACCATACTGATAGCCTCTTTCATCATCCGGAAGTTCTGGAGAAGCGATGTCGAAAATCTGTCGATTGTGATGTGTACGAATGTTTTCTATGAACAACGCAAGGCGGGAATTTGGATAAATGGTGAAGTGTAGAGGCCCGATCAACAGTTTAGTACGGTAAGCAGGGTGATGCATTACGCAGAGTACCGCTTTGTTGTTCTTAAACGAATTGCCGCTGGAGTGTCTTCAGACAAAGTTTGATGTCCCTAATCACCTTGGCATACGGGGTTTACGTGCCGAAGCTGTACGTGAACGACTCTGGGAATAAGAACCGTTCGACAAAACGTCAGTAGAACCAGTTTCAAGAAATTTCGGCAAGTTTGGATATACCGTAGTATTTGTAAACAGTTTTAGTTGTTCTGCAGTCAAGCCGCGCAAAATAATATGACTAGCTTCATGAAGCTTGGTCACTCGGTGGGCGAAAAGGAATCCCGTTTCCTGAATCTATTGGTGGAGGAGGTCAATCTGTTCGGCGGTCCGTCGCGGATAGAAAGCTTGCGACAAGTGACAGGGTGATGAATACAACTCTCGTCCAATGTACGAGGATCACTAGGCGCTTTTTTCAAAGCAAACGCGTTGTCGAGTTACGCAGCTGTGTAACAAAACGACATCAAGGTAGGCAGTTTTGGTGGCAGGTTAACTTTTCGAAGTCCTGTCCCGGGGTGCCTGGTTACAAAGTATGGCTGCACTCATATGCGAATTTCTGCATTGGGTTGTTTAGCGTATGTAGTGTGCACATCACCTAGGGCGTACTATGTCCAGTGATAGCATTTATATTGTAAGCAGTGAGCTTACAGTCCCCAGTTCTTCTTGGCACTCACGGACGCTGCAAACGTATTCGTCATGAGATGCATGTCCCCAAAATTTATGTTATGAAATCGCAGTGACGTGCACTAAGTGGGTTTCGAAGCGTGAGCTCAAAATTATTCCATAACTCACCTAGTTTTTCTCAAGTTAACCAAATGTGGAGAGAATCTATGTTTTGGTGGCATACATTGATTTTCCTCATCCTGCCAAAGCAATCCGGACAAGTAAACTGCGACTGAAGACCGGATGAACACAGTTGTTTCCTGCTTTGACTAGGGTATCGACCAACCTACGAATGGTCACGGGTCCGGATGCCACCTAGGCAAAGTAGGATAATCCAAAACAAGGATGAGAATGGCTTTTTGTTCTCTACGGTTGACTTATCTGTCTTGTGACGATCTCATATCGGTTATGACCAACACATTTCTTAAAATTTCCGGTTTCCTTTCTAGATTCATTGATCACTAATGATTATTATTGTTGCTAGTTTTGGAATAAATGATAACTAATCAACCGCAGCAGTTATGTATCGTGACAGAAACTACTTGTTATCATACATCCTTCGTCTGTTCCCGAACCGCTTTACCACCGGGGGAGAGAATGCATAGCGTCATTAGTGGCAACGATTACGACTTCGAAATCTAAGGTTAGAGTGACGTACATCAACCGAAAAAAACGGATCGTCTTAATTTTGGTTATCGATTGAGCGTCATCAGGTGCACGCTTATAGACCCTTGTTACAACTGAAAACTATACATTTCAAGTGCACTACGTGGGTCACAGTGATGCAACAGATGGCTATACCGTGTGTTCTCCTCTGCCACAACTTCACGCCTCATTGTGCATTCCACCTACGCGCTTGAAACGGAATGGGTAAACGGCAACACCGGTCGAAAACTCGGTTCGCAAGAGAAATCGTTCGGTTTGTTTTTCAGCGTAATACGGTGCGGTGTAAGCAAACAGGTACGAGTGATGAGTTTTCCGACTCATTCAACCATATGTTCTTGAATGTTCAGTCATCAAAAGTGCATAATACACACTAAAAAATTCAGCTGGTGTTTGTGTTCCATACAGTATTCCCTTTGAGCAAGGACCACTCACTGAAAAAACCCAAATGGTCTTAGCCAGGGATCAACCTCTCTTGGGAGATGCATTTCCCGGTCATCCCATTACTAATGCGGGTAATAATGCATGCATCTGAGGTAAAAACAACACGACGACGTATTACAGTCATGGTATTAATATTGTGACACGTTGACTGTCCCGCAAACACCTTATGAGGGGTCTTAGCCAGGGATCAACCTCTCTTGGGAGATGAATTTCCCGGTCATCCCATTACTAATGCGGGTAATAATGCATGCATCTGAGGTAAAAACAACACGACGACGTATTACAGTCATGGTATTAATATTGTGACACGTTGACTGTCCCGCAAACACCCACCTTATGAGGGTCATTACATTTGGGCTATCGGGTCCTGCCGATCACCATAAGCAACGGCTTTCACCGGTTACACTGAAGCAGAGGAACACTGTTCTGTCCCCTCTGAAAAACGTCTCGTGGTTTCACATGCTACTCTACGAAGAAACCGTGGGGGAAAGTTGGTCTATCTGTGTTGAAAGTATCTCTAGGTGGACGGAATTCCGCCAGTTGCGAAAGGTGAGCATCCCAATCAATCACGGCTTCTGCAGAGACTTGATCTGTCTCTCCGCTGAATATGCAAGAGCCTTTAAGAATTCACTCGCCAGTCATCTGTCGTTAAATTCCTCATTCCACAAACTTCGCACACTCTGTTGAATTTTTATGAGCAGTGGACTGAACATCACCCATGTTTCGATCAGACCTGAATTAATCAAGCATAAGCCTGCTGACTGACTATACCAAAGACACACTGACATTGACATGTGAGTTTTCGTCTTCTTTACGATTCGTTTTTCCATTATTTGCTTATGACCTAGCGTTACTTCATTGAATTCAGCACTTAGGTCTTGTTGGATCCCATAATATTAGCGATAAGTCAAGTTGAGTTTCCACTCTGCCTCAGTCCGAGTATCTGAATGTTCGCCTTCAAGATGTCCGTTTTCCATACTGTGTCTGCTGAAATGTGTACGCAACTCAGAAAGATGCCATATTCGTCCCCAAGGAACGAGCCTCATATCATAAGAATGTCTTTTCAACGATCTTGATTTCACTGTTTACATGCTAAATTAGGATGACTGTTTTGTATGCTGTGCGCTAAAGGGCGATGAGCCGAAAACCTCGCGAATTAAAGGAATCTAAAAATTACACCAATAATGAAATGGATATGTTAAGCATTCGAGCTTAGCTTTGCTGCTGGCGCAATGTATAAGTTATCAGGTTTCACAGTCCAGTAGGCCACCCAAATTGACTTTGATCCATCTGCTTAATGGCGTATGACGGGGAACGCTAGCGTGTCTTCCTCAAAACAGTAACCTCTCTTCAAAGATTTTCATGTACGGGAGGTTGTTATAGTACTTAACGTCTAGGGAACTAACTACCGTGTTTGGGGACCTCAAGAGCTTTGGAAACAAACTTGTGTGTACTGTGGTTAGTCATATGTCAATTTGATGCCTTGATATAGGGAAGCCTGCGGCCTTAGCTTAGATGAGCAACTGCCCCTCGGTGACTCAAATCGTGCTTCCCTTCAAGATATGGAGGGAAGTTCCCCAAAATGTCCTAGTTTGAGGATGGTATCCTTTGGAGAGCTTACTAGGGGAGTCACCGTACATGCGGTCAGACACGAAGTGATGCTGGGAAACGGGCAAACGAACGGCACATGGGAGAATCCGTCTCACGTTCAGCTGGGTAGCTGGCTGGAAACGGTGGTGGGGAATATTAACCGGTGCTCACCACTGGGTTGTATGTCTTCTGTCTTAGCTCAGACGTACATGCAATTTCATTTGGAAGTTTACTGAGACAGCTTGATTTAGTTGTGATTAAGGCCGTCAGCAAAGAAGAAAAAATCTCCCAAGTCATGGTACGGGTCGTATGTTCGATTAGTGTAGAGATCTTTGTGTGGAGGGTCGCAATAGAGAGAGGTTACAAACTTACATATACATGTATATATGAGGAGTCACGCCGCACCAGATAAACTAGTTCTCCGAACTCTGCCATGCATATTTGTACACCGAGCACCCAAGTCCATATGATCGAAAGATGTGGAACCCGTAGCAATAGCTAAAGGTCTGCGCATGCCAATCATTATACACGTATGTATAACACAGCCCATTAAACTATAGAACGGTTTAGCATGGTGTAGTATGGCGTGATGTAGCACAGTATTGTAATGTAGTGCAGTATGTATGTTATGGTAGAGTAGACTG